AAAAAAAATAGTATCTTTACAGTTCAAGTGTAGGTGTATACACACTCCGTCTTTCCTTAAACTATGAGATTAAATCGCTTCAAATCTTTTTTTCTACGTACTAATTATTTCTTTATGTACTATATCCTTATATGCAATCTTTCATTTATATATTACACAATTGATTTAACTACTTCTATGAATCCGGTGTTCGTCTTGTTGTGCTTAAGCTGTATGGCAACTGGATCGATGCATATATGTGCCTGGTCCTACATTGTAACTGATGACTGACTTTAAATCAATCGAAAGTGATTAATAACCGTTTAAGGATATCGCTAAATGTAATTATGAATCTATATGTACTTTTGAAAAACAAGAACATAAGGGGGACTGACAGAAAAGTATATACTATACAAGTTTTCTGAACATATTCCTCGAAAGTTGTGTTTGAAGTGTGACCACAAGACATTTAATCGATAATGAACACAAAGTGAACATTACCATCAAGACCTTATTATGAAGAAAGAAAGTACAATAAACCTCATTCATTACCATGGAAAAATAGTTATATAAACTATCTTAACTATTATGTCGTTTCAAACTGAACTTCTTTAATTCAGTCAATCATCTACAATGTAGGAGACCAGGTACATACATGCATCGGTCCAAGTTACCACACCTCATTACCAGAACAAGATGAACACCAAATTCATAGAATCAGTTATTTCAATAATAGTGTGTATACCTACACCATTGTGATCGATTCTGTACCATGTCCACCAAGAGTCTCCAACCATTGGTTACGATAGTCACGTGGACCCCAACCAAGTAGTTTGGATCTAGCAAAATGGCTCAGACTAAGGTTTATAATAAAACATTTTTATAATCATATTACTAATTGAAATTGAAATTGATGAGAAGCTTGAAAATACATTGAATCCATGTTATTCTGTAAATTTTGTTCTTCTCACTTTATTTAAAATTAAAATAGGTCAAAGTATGATATACTGACGACCTTTAGTTGACCAATCAGAATTAAGATAACACTTTAGGTGTTTTGCGCGAAATTTAAGGTACACTGATAGATAATATGTACTTTATTATTAACCAAATGAAAATTGGTGCTTGAAATGTTTTAAATCAATAAAAATATCTATTATGCTATCAATGAAGTGAATAATAGATCCTAAACATAAACACGAATCTGGTGTTCATCTTGTTGTGTTAATGAGGTATGGCAACTTGAACCGATGCATACATGTGCCTGGTCCTACGTTGTAGCTGACTGACTGAAACATAACATGCCTATTCCTAAGGCAGATAGTCTGTTAAAGTACTTGATTTGGTTTACTGAATAATTAAGTGATTTGATGAAGCTAGATCATATTCTCCCTTTTCTAACTCTTATTCTATATCTCAACCTTAAGTTTCACAAATTTGTAAACAGAAGTGAAAAACGACAAAGTATTGATTTATGGTGGATTTCAGTTCATGATGAAAATCCTGACCTAAATTTGTAAACCTAACTCAAATTCGTGACCAAAACTTTATAGGGTGACAACCTCAACTTACAATAGTAATCTGATTAGTAATAAGTATGTACACACATATGTAAACTTGACCTTTTTTCTTACTACGAAAGATAATTTGACGTAAAAGTGTTAATTACTTAAATCAAGCTGTCATTATTCCACTGGTAGTTGCTTAGTAACTAAACAGTCTTCGAATTGGCTGATAGGATACCACCCAACGTCGCCGCAGCATATTATACTTTTACCTAATAATAATAATAATAATCTTGATCAATAAATAACCCCAATCCACCGGTGAAATCCCAATCAATTTCAGTTGAGCAACACTCATATTTCAAAATAAAGCAATATAATTTATGAACCGATACAAAAGAACAAAAATATCCATCATTCTAACAGTGTGTTAATACTCTTTCTGTGAATATACTGTATTAAACAAATGAGAAGCATTATGGTGAAGTGAGCGCGAGGACACTGAACCCATTAAAATCAAGGTGGATGGAATAGAACTTGGACCTAAGACTGACAGGTTGTTCATCAAATGGTTTAATCAGTGACATATAATTTAATTAGTTAACTTGATACGTTAAAAGATATGTAAATATCTAAAGTCCTATAGAATGCTAATTACACCTTGAATACCTCTCCGTCTCAGACTGTGAATTAAAGTACGTTCAAGTTTAAATAGTAAAACGTAGTATTAGATCTATCACGATTAAAAATATTCCGATAAAATTAACCAATAATCACGACCATACATACTATTATATGTTTACTAATGAACAAACTCTATTCTTGGAAGCCTAGTGAGAAGAGATGTCCAGTAAAATTCAATTGTTTCAAGATTCAGATAAATCTCAACATTTCAAATAAATGATAACGTAAACTATTGTTTGAATCTTCAATGTTCGCCACAAAGCCTGAATATCCTGGTTTTTAATCATTGGTGATGGGTGGGTCGTGGATGTGAACCATCATTAAGGTATCTAATACTTCAATGTAACAACTGGTTAATGCTTTCTTATTTTCATTAGTTATCAAACTATAGTCACTTAATGAAATAAATCTACAAAAGGACGATTTACTTTTTTTCTACAATAAAAGTAGACGGAGGGAAACAATCAATCGCTTGTCATTTTTTCTGCTTATAGAACTTACCTCTCCATCATTAATGGTGATTCACTGACATTCGCTAAAGCAGCAACAATTGCAGCTATCACACGTTTTCCATTTGGACTAGCACTACCAATCTCATCAGAATTTAGTAAATCTTGTCGATTATTAATATTACTATTATTATTAGTAGTAGTAGTAATACTACGATTATTGTTGTTATAATTTAACAGAAGCGGATGGATTTGATTGTGGCCAATTTGTGATTTAAATGAATTATGTAAATTCGATGAAGAATATGATGAAAAATTTGATACAGTTGAAGCAGTATTACGTGCAACCATAATATCAACTAATTCTTGATCCATTTCACCTTCATCATCATCATTATCATCATCTTCGTCAACATTACGATCACTGGTATTATGATGTGTCGATGAGAAATTGACATTTGTAGCATTGGTTATTAATTGGTATTTTTCTGAAATTTGTTTTTTTGGCGAATTATTTACTGTCATCGTTGTTGTAAATGATGAAAGACAATGTGAACCGGGATCATCATTTATATAATTTAAACTAGTAGGAGTTAGTTCTGTTGAACTGGGACGACCAACTCTACTATGCACTGGGACTATTAATGTACAGAAAACAAGAAATAAACACACAAAGAATGAAATAATGTATATACATCAGTAATGAAATTGTAGCACAATTAATAAAGAGGCAAAAAAATGACACGTTCTACAGATATGGACATAAACCAATAAGATGAAAAACAGTAGTTTCGGACTTTTCATTCTATAGCCAGTCGAGGTGGGACAATGTTTGTTAGTCATAAGCTATCTTTAGAATGAGCATATACGCACATTGATTCAGGTTTTCACACTGAAATGCAATTATCAAGACAACTGACAGAGTAATCGATGTAGTAACAGTATCAGTGGTAGAACAAAACACTAACCATAGACAATAAGATGAGAGCATTACACCGTGGAGTAAAGAGTACAAAATAATCTTAAGAATCAAAATCTAGGGAGGTAGACAAAGAAAGAATGAATACATCTGCGTAATTGTGACTTATTCTGATCTAACATCTCATCCAATGCTTTTAACTATTGGCTGGTTACAAGATAAATGCACTGATCACAATCACATGATCTGCACTTACCAATAAAGATCAGTGCAACAGTTAATGACTTCAGGTACTGATGCCACATCTTGGTCCGGTTGCCCATAACTTTTTTCCAACCTACTCCTATATCAGTCAATATTGCATGTTGAGGTAGGCAGTGGTTGACCGTGCATAAAACATGTCCCAAACCAACCCAATCAGTGAAGATTCCCTATCTCATTAAACGACTTACCATATGTTAAAATCTTACTGAAAAAAAAACGAGATTAAACAAATTAAACCATTCAAACTCTGCCCTAGGAGTTGAAGGAAGAATTATGACGTCTCGTGATAAAGGAAATCACGAGACCGATGCCCCTTCTAACAATGAGAGCAAAAACTTATGTAGGCACATGGAACGTCCAGGCAATGTGGGAGACTTTAAGGACCAGTCAAATAGCAACGGAAATGAAATGAAAATTGACAGTGCTCGGAATCAGTGAAACCCATTGAACCAAGCTGGACAGCAAAGGATAGATTCCGGAGAGATACTGATGTACTTAGGGTGAGAATCTCATGGATCCAAGATCACCAAAGCATCATTTGAAACAAAGATGGGAATCACAGTGAATGTTATCCAATGTTATGCACTCACCAATGATAACAACGATGACGATAAAAATCAGTTTTACGAGAGGCTGCAATCGATCATAGCGAAGTGACCACGAAAGCATCTGACAATCCTAATGGGAGACCTAAACGCCAAAGTCGGAATGGACAAAACTGGGTACGAAGATGTCATGAGACAGCATGGAGTGACTGGGAGAAAGGAACGAGTGATGAAAGATTTCCGAATTTATGTGCATTCAACAAAATGGTTATAGACAGCACAATATTCCCGCGCAAACGCATACACAAAACTACGTGTATCTCACCGCATCACACCACGGAGAACCAGATAGATCGTATTGCATTCGGAAAGTTAATGGAAGACATGAGAACAAGGAAAGGAGCTGATATAGCCTCAGATCATCATCTGGTTGTTACTTACTTACGCCTGTTACTCCTAATGGAGTATGAGCCCCTGACCAGCATTCTTCAACCCACTCTGTCCCGCACCTTCCTTTCTAGTTCTATCCAATTGTTGTTCATTCATCTCATATCTGTCTCAATTTCTCGGCGTAATGTGTTGTTTGATCTTCCTCTTTTCCTTTGGCCTTGAGGATTCCATGTGAGGGCTTGTCTTGTGACGCATTTGGGTGCCTTCCTCAATGTGTGTCCTACCCATTTTCAGCGCTTTTTCCTGATTTCTTCCTCCACTGGAATTTGGTTTGTTCTCTCCCACAGTACGTTGTTGGTAATAGTGTCCGGCCAACGGATCCGAAGTATTTTGCGTAGACAACTGTTAATAAACACCTGTATTTTCTGGATGATGGCTTTCGTAGTTCTCCAGGTTTCCGCCGCATACGGTAGAACTGTCTTGACATTTGTATTGAAAATCCTGACCTTGGTGTTGGTTGACAGTTGTTTTGAGTTCCTGATGTTCTTTAGTTGTATACATGCTGATCTTGCTTTACCGATCCGCGCTTTCACATGCTCATCAGATCCACCGTGTTTATCAATGATGCTGCCCAAATATGTGAAGGTTATTATATCTTCCAAATCTTCTTCGTCCATTGTGACTGGATTGGTGCATGCTGTGTTGTATTGGAGAATCTCGCTTTTCCCTTTGTGTATATTGAGACCTACTGCTGCTGAGGCTGCTGCTAAACTGGTCATTTTCTCCTGCATTTGTTGTTGCGATTGCGATAGGAGGGCCAGATCGTCTGCACAGTCTAGATCGTCCAACTGCATCCTAGATGTCCATTGTACCCCGTGCTTCCCTTCAGATGTTGACGTCTTCATGATCCAGTCGATCACCAGGAGAAAGAGAAAGGGTGAGAGTAAGCAACCTTACCTGACACCGGTCTTCACCTCGAACGAGTTTGTCAACTCTCCTCCATGCAAGATTTTGCAGTTTAATCCATCATATGAGTTCTGTATGATATTGACTAGCTTCTGAGTCACGCCGTAGTGTCGAAGAAGTTTCCATAGTGTTGTTCTGTCCACGCTATCAAATGCCTTTTCGTAGTCAGTGAAGTTAATGTAGAGTGATGAATTCCATTCAATTGATTGTTCCACAATGATCCGTAGAGTTGCGATTTGGTCTGTACACGATCTATCCTTACGGAATCCTGCCTGTTGGTCATGAAGTTGGGCGTCTACGCAGTCCTTCATCGTGTTTAACAATACCCTGAAGACTTTTCCCGGTATTGAGAGAAGAGTGATGCCCCTGTAGTTATCACAATTGCTGAGATCGCCTTTCTTTGGTATTTTGACCAGAGTCCTTTCCAGTCTTTTGGTACTTGTTCCTCATCCCAAATCTTATTGAAGAGAATGTGGAGTATCCTTGCAGTTGCCGCTACGTCTGCTTTCAGTGCCTCTGCTGGAATGTTTTCTGGTCCTGCTGCTTTGCCACTCTTGATTTGCCTGATGGCCATGCTGATTTCTTCAATTATTGGTGGGCCAACAATCATCTGGTTTTTGCCAAGATGAAACTGAAGCTAAAGAAGTATTGGACAACTGGACAAACAGCATTACAAAGGTTCAATTCAGCCTTCCTTCGACATACTGACAAACTCAACCAATTCAAGATAACTCTCATCAACAGGTTTTAAGCCTTTCCAGATCTACTGAAAGAAGAAACTACTATGGAGGATAACTGGAAAGGGATAAAAGAAGCACTAATTTCAACGAGCAGGGAGGTGCTGGGTTGCAAGAAGTATCATCATAAGGAATGGATCTCTATCGAAACTCTAGACGAGATTCGAGAAAGGAAGAACAAGAATACAGCAATTAACAACAGCCAAACAAGAACAGAGAAAGTCAAGGCACAAGCTGAATACATAGAAGCATTAGAGCTGACAAGCAGAAATACGTGAAAGATCCAGCAACGATAGCGTAAAAAACTTCAAGGGAAGGAAGTATGAAACAGTTATATGATACAACGAAGAAACTGGCAGGTAAATATGGTAAATCAGAGAGACCGGTCAAGGACAAAGAAGGCAAACCAATGCCTGATATGTAAGAATAGTGGAACACGTGGATAGAACAGTTTAAAGAACTGTTAAATGGACCAACCCCACTGAACCAATCAACATCGAAGCATAACACACAGAACTTCCAATAGCTGTCACTCCACCAACGATCGAAGAAATCAGGATGGCCATCAGACAAGTCAAGAGTGGCAATGCAGCAGAACCCAATAATATACCAGATGAAGCACTGTAGTCAAACTCAGAAGTAACTGGTAAGATGTTTCACGTTCTATTCAGGAAGAACAAGCGCCAACAGACTAGAAAAAAGGACACCTCATTAATATACGAAAGGAGATCCGAACAAATGTGAGAACTACGGAGGAATCACACTACTATAGGTACCAGGAAAAGATTACAACAAAGTGTCGTTGAACCGGATGAAAGATGCAGTAGACGTCAAGTTTCGAGATCAACAGGTTGGACTCCGTGAGGATCGATCGTGCACAGACCGAATTGCAACACTACAGATCATCGTCGAACAATTAACTGAATGGAACTCGACAATACATTTACTTCTTTGACTATGAGAAAGCATTCTACAGTGTGGGTGGGAAGAATTTATGGAAACTTCTTCGACACTATGGTGTACCTGAGAAAATCGTCAATATCATCCGGAATTCATACGACGGACTACACCGCAAAGTCGTGCGTGGAGGACAGCTGAAAGATGCATTCCAAGTGAGGACCAAAGTCAGACAGGGATGCTTACACTACTCTATCTCTTCTTCTGGTGATTGGCTGGATTATTAGGACCTCCACATCTGAGGGGAAGCACAGAAAACAATGGACAGTTCGAAACCATCTAGACGATTTGAACTCCGTAGATCACCTGATCCTTCTATCCCATACATATGAAGAAATGCAGATGAAGACAACCAGTGTAGCAGAAGTCTCTGCAACAGTAAGCCATCACAACCAAAAGTGAGAAAACAAGATCCTCGAATACAACATAGAGGACATCAACCCAATCACACTTGATGGAGAAGCCCTGGAATCTTTCACGCGTCTGGGCAGCATCATCGGTGAACAAGGAGGATCTGATGCAGACGTAAAGAAGAGGATTTGCCAAGTAAAAGATGCATTCCTAAAGTTGAAGAAAATATGCAACTCAAAACAACTGTTAAGCAACATCGAAGTCACAATCTCCAATACAAACGTCAAGACAGTCCTACTGTATGGAGCTGAAACTACGAGAACTACTACAACTATCATCAGAAAGGTGCAAGTACTTCTAAACAATTTTCTACACAAGAAACTCAATGTCCGTTGGCCTGAAACCATCAGAAACATACTACTGTAGGAGAGAACAAATCAGTTTCCGACTGAGGAGGAAATCCAGAAAAAAACGATGAAAGTGGATAGGATACACATTGTGGAAATCACCAAACTGAATCGCGAGGTAAGCGCTTGCCTGGAATCCTGAAGAGGGACAGAAAAGAGGAAAGCCGAATAACACGCTACGTCGAAAATTAGAATCGGACATGAAAAGGATGAATAGCAACTGAAAACAACTGGAAAGGATTGCCCAGGCCAGGGGTTGGATGGAGAATGCTAGTAGGAGACCTATGCTTCTTCACAAAAGTAAGTAAGTTTCTCACACTTGACGTCAACATAGAAAAGAGAAAGCAGTAACGACAGTAGGAAAAGTGAAGTAGTGTTTAGTAAAAAGATGAAAAATGAGGAAAAATAAATGAATTTTTGACAAGAAGATTGAAATGACTTTTTGGGCCATTTTATAGAAAGTTGATGAATACTGAGAAAGTAAGAACGATATTTTCACCTATCTACCTATACAGCTCAAATCAATATTCAATGACTGGTAACCAAACATTGTTCGACGTTATTTCAGTAAGTAACAAGTGGCTAGAAAATAAAATGTGCAGATGGATCGTGAAGAAAATGTTCTTGCTCTGATACGTTATTCACGTACGGAATTATCCAATAAATCTTTCACAACTACAAATAACGAACATAAACACACACACACAGAGGTAGAGAAATTGTTAACTAGCTATAAATTTATTTTCATTTACATAAAATAAACCAATGACTTACCGAATGGTGATTTATGATGTACCATAAAGGTATTCGTTGTCGATTCTGTCGATGATGTTACAGGTGTTGTTGATAAATGTGAATGTGAATCATCGAAATTGCATAATCCGGTTGCTGTCGATGTTGTCATCATTGAGGTGTTGCTAGTTAATGAATTTGACAGAGGATATGACAGTAGGTTTTCATCTAATGAGCCATCTATAGTTGGTGTTCTAGCTTCAGGACGTTTTTTCGCCGGTTGCCGAGGTGTTGACTTCCCACTAGATGAGTAATTGGAACTACTCATCCAAGATATTGTTGTATTAATATTATTGTTATTAGTAGTTGTATTTAATGTATTGTTAACAGAAGATGGATATATATGTAAGCCATTCACTGAACCACTATTGACTATTAACCCAAGATACGGTTGTGAACAAAGGAATGTGCCATCTTTATTTAAATTACAATGACGTTGTTGTTGTTGCATGGTAGTGCAGGATTGAAGTAGAAATGGTGATGATGAATGATCGTCATCGCCGTCATCATCGTTCTCTTCTTCTTCGCCTTCTTGATGTTGTCGTTGGAATAATGATTGGTCAGAATGGAAATGATGATGATGAAGCATTGACTGATCTTGATCATTCTTAATAGATCGTGATAAAAGAGAGTTAGGAGAAGAATGAGGTAATAGACTATTCGAAGTAGAGATAACCATAGAAGTCGTAGCAGTAGTATTACTAGTAATAGTAGCATTAGTAGGAGTATTGATAGTATTAGCACACTGAAGTGATCTAGATAAGGCAGAAGTGTTATCATGCACAGAAAAAGTATAAAATGCACTTGAAGTATTATTATTATTATTGGCACATGTCGAACTAACAGGATTATTTGAGATCAATGATGAAATATTCCCATTGGTTAATAATGTTGAATCTGATGGTCGACGAATTTGTGGATGAATTTGTGAAATTCGAGTATTATTATTATTAGTAGTAGTAGTATTAGTATTGTTATTACTACTATTACTGTTATTACTAAATGGTATTCCAGATATAAGTAGAGGTGGACTTGATGAAGAATGTAAATGATATGAATTTTTTGCTGGTGATGATGGAAATGAACTAGGTGATACTGGTCTTGGTCGTTTTAAACTATAACGTTCCGATTTTAATAGAATTCCATTATGATCTTTTGAATAGATCATTGAGTCATTATTATTATGATTATTAGATTGAATTGAATGATTTCTATTTGTAGAGCATAATAATGTTGAATGATTGAAATCATTTATTGAATGTTGATATATAGGTGATGGTTGTCTAGTATAATTAATTGTATTCAATGAAAAATTATTAATTGTAGTTGTTATGGTTAATGATTCATGTAATGGATCTAATTTATGAGATTTATGATAACCACCATAGGATAGATATGAATTTGGCTAAGATTATAGAATGAGAAAAATAAACAGTAATAATAATAATAAATTTCATATAAAATGTTAATTTAGAAAATGAGATCAAATTTTAGTTATTCAATATAATAATATTAAGATCAAAGTATTGACTGAGTACCTTTGTGATATGGGCTACTTATATCCGCATAAGTAGTATATAACGATGGTCAGGAAAATAGAATGTATTTTAGTAGAAGATCAATAAGAAAGAACGGGAATGGAACGCAATTTGTATGAAAATGCATGAAAAATGAAATCTGAGACAATGGACTGATATTTACAAAAAAAGAAACAGTCAAGTTTGAGACAATGGATTGATATTTTGCAAATTAACTATTTACCATGTGGTTCTCAGATTTTAATGAGATATTTTGTAATTTTGCGCTCAAATACATTCGACTGCTCCCACTCGTGTTCTTGTTCGCGACACCTTCATTAATGGTAACATGGTTACATGTCACCTGACTTTTAAGCAATAAATTATAGGTGGCTACTAATTAGGGCTCAGTAGATAAGTGGAGGAAGCGAACAGTACTTACTGGGTTCGAGTCCCAGAGTGAATATCAACTCGGAGTTGCAGGTACATTTAGATGACGAGTCCCAAATAGGACGTAACGTACATCTTAAATCCCACTGCTAGCCACTATCCATCTTTGCTTATAAAACTTGTGACTTAAGGCAATATGCCATATTCAGTCCGAAATAACAGTGGGAAGATACACGTTAACAACATCAAGTGAAGATATGTGTTATGTCGGAAGAAAACAACATGTTGTTTTCTTGTAATGTTCTGTATCGAATTCCGTGTGATAAGGTCGTGATGACAGTAAACCAGTTGTATGGTATATGTGTCCTATTTTTAGGTAGATTATCGATTAGTTTATTTATATTCCTAGTAGGATTGGTGAGCTACTATTTACCAAATGATAGATTGATCAATCAAAACGTTAATGTTTACCAGTCCTCAAGCTCCTTCTAACCAGGTGAACAATCAGTTCAATTACGGCTCCAAACTCAAACAATAATATATATATATATATATATATATATATATATATGAAATTTCTGAACACATAGTAACACAATTAAGGAAGGAAAGAAGATGAAGAATTAACCATTAAACACTATAACAAGAATTAGATAACTGTTTCACTTAAATTTGTTACAACCAACAATTATATTTTCATTTCTTATGGATAAGAAATAACATCAGTAGTGGAATGTCTTTTAAGGTCAGCTATTGCTTTATTATGATGAATGGATTAGTGAGGCAGTAAAACTTCACTGATTGATGTGGCACATTACATATGTCTTATTATCGCCTACATCAATATACAGTGTTCACTGACGATGTAAGAGTAGGTTTGAAGAAAGTTAGAAATTATAAAACCAAAATATAGCATCAGTCTATGTAATTATTGACGGATTGTGTGTCTATCTTGTATATTTATTTGATTAAACACATAAACATTGGTAGAAATAGTCATCAAATAGATATGCGCCAGATAAATCATTCGATTCGCATGAGCCCTGGGATACTGCCAGTACGCCCAAACCGAAGCAGGTGATTCTCTTAGCGGGCCACACCCAGAGCCTTTGATCTAAAGGTCTAATCCACAAGGCAGTGGACCAACGTAAGAAGATGCAGTCCCATAGTGACCGGTGACTAACAATAGTTTCATACATCATTTGTTCCTTGAGGTTCCTGGAGTTCATGTGCACCATTGGTTCAGAATCAGTATTTCCCAACTCCGCTATGTGGACCCTTCATGTTCACCAACCTGGTTAAAGCGACGAACATTTTCTTTTCGTCCTGTCAATTTCGTACATAACAGTAATGCCACGAGAAAGCAATAAGTAGGACATCTCTGACAGTGTTTGTATGCATGTGGCCATGTGAGAGGATTTCGAGAGAGAGAGAGAGAGAGAGAGAGGTTGACTCTCACCACCCTCTGTCATATCAGGGCATTTGGGGGTCCAAACTATCTACCGTGATTAGTAGTTGAAAACATTAAGTAATATAACTAAGAATTGGTCTCAACATCGTAGAATGCGTTGTATTAATTGACAACATGAGAATTTTTAATCTTATTCTATATAATATGAACTATTGTTGATTACATAATGAAAAATGATCATAAGTGATGGAATCACAAACAATAAACTATCATATTAGAAAGTGATATTCAATGATACCTATTTATCACATTATTGTTTAATAAGAAAATAATAATGAATAATTTACAAGGCAGAAAAAACAAACAAAATATTTTTGTTTTGTTTTGTTTTGTTTGTTTCTAGGAGAGAAAGAAGAGAGAGAAAGAGAAAAACAAGAAGTAGAAATTCCAGACAAGAACCTTGAACTTATTCTAATATGATACATAGTTGAAATGAATACATAGTCAATCCGTTAATTAATATTAGCTAATAGTAAAATGTAGAAATATGATCAGCTTTTTATTATTATTCTTATTATTATATTCTTACTAACAACAATGTGTTTTATAATAAATTACACGTATACATATACATATGTGTGTGTGTGTTTTAAGACCTTTGATAAACCAGTAGTGTAAATTCAGTCAGTCGATCAGTCAGTTACAATGTAGGACCAGGCACATATATGCATCGGTCCAAGTTGCCACATCTCAATTAGCACAGCAAGACGAAAACCGGATTCATAGAAGCAGTTAAATCAATGGTGTAATATATAAATGAAAGATTGCACACAAGGATATAGTACATAAAGAAATAATTAGTACGTAGAAAGATATGCAGCGATTTAAATACATATTAGTACAAGGGAGAATCAAATGTACACACACCTCACAAATCATTTGATATGTGTGATGGCTGGGATACTTCCTGGACACCCAAACTAAAGCAGGTGGTTTTCTTAGTGAGTCACTCCTTGAACCTTTGATCCAGACGTATAATCCACATGACAGTGGAGTAACGTTAGAAGATGCGGATCCATGGCATCTGGTAAACAAGAATCGGTTCATACACCATTTGTCCTCTTAGGATCATGAAACCGATATGCGCCATTGGTTTGGTATTCAGTCAGTCAGCTACAACGTAGAACCAGGCACATAATGCATCGGTCCAAGTTGCCACACCTCAATCAGCACAGTAAGACGAAAACCGGATTCATAGAAGCAGTTAACTCAATGGTGTAATATATAAAGGAAAGATTGCATATAAGGATATAGTATAGGAAGAAAGAATTAGTACGTAGAAAGATTTGAAGCGATCTTAATCTCAAAGTTTAAGGGAAGACAAAGAGTGTACACACCTACACTATTGTGGTAGATTCTGAGCGATGTCACCTTTACCAATTAGTCTGCATCTACTAACATGGCTCGGATTAGAAGTCAGCGACTTCAAGCACTGATGCCACGTTTTTGGTTTGGTCGCCTCTAACTTTCTTCCAACCATCCCCTACACTAGTCAACATTGCGCGTCGTGGTAACCAGTGTTCAGGCGTACGTACCACGTGGCCCAACCATCTCAGTCGATGAAGATTCACAACCTCATCAACTGATTTACCATCATTCCCTAATACCCTTCCGTCTAACCTCGCTATTACTACTCGATGATCCCAGATGAGAGTGTATATTAACTAAAAGGGAGAATGATGTGTAAATCTATTTTGATCATTCATGCAATAAACAAAACAAAAGCACATAATGTATATAAGAATAACTATATTGACCGGAAGAAATGTCTCTTAGTTGAATTCGTACCACTAATTGTATAGAAGCATGATTGTAGTAAGGTTTTTCTTTTAGTTAGCCGTTATTTAAAGAGATCCTGCCATCCCATAACGTAAGGGAAGAGTTGAAAAAGCATGCCACATCTTACTTCACGGATTTCCGTCTCCGATTGTAAGAACTTTTGATGTACGACACTTACATATTTGACAATACTCACAAAAAGACCACATGTCAGCCAGCTACAACGTAGAACCAAGCATATATATACACATATGTATCGGTCTAAGTTTTCATACCTCATTAGAACAACAAGATGAACGCCAAATTCATAGAAGTAGTTACTTCAATGGTGTAATATATAAAAGAAAGACTGTGTATAAAGATATAATACAGGAAGCAAGTTTAATCTCACGGTTTAAGAGAAGACAAAGAGTGTATACACCTACGTCATTGTGATCGATTCTGAGCCATGTCATCCAGAGTCTCCAACCATGGTTACGATAGTCACGCAGACCACAACCATATGTGATCAACATTAAAAAGTTGTCTCTCGAACTTTGTGACCACGCTGCTAGGTCGTCAAGATCACCTGTAATCCATTATCCTTTCCAGGTATCACGAGGAAGAATCTTCCCATGGTGCAAGCAGTCTGTGAGCAATAATTGCTCTCATACCTCTAATAGCACTCGAAATTACTTAGTTTGACATCTACTGAGATACAAACTCAGCAGAGAAATCATTAAAATAAACAAAATTATGAATCCTTACAGTATATTGATTAGAATATGTTGAGGATTTTCAGTATACCTGATTAGTGTTTAACCCTTTGGAATGTGTACCGTAACAAAATAAGCGACAGAGGTTGTCATGGATATGGTCGCAGGGTTAAGTAACACTAATTACAGTGACCGACCGCTGAATTCTACGTTTATCTATAACTACTTTGCGCTAATAGTCTAGGTGATTTGGCATCGAGTGTAATATTCCATGATGTTAGATGGTTGGAGGCAATCGACAGACAGCTATGGATTTACTAAAAAGATCTGAAATTATGTAGCCCTTTTCGTTTTGATCAATAAACGATAACTCTGATGCATACGGAATTTAATTGGAGCGTTTTTTCAGCTTATTCCACTAGCCTTGATTGCTACCTAATCGGTTGTTTTAGCTTTTAGGTCGCAGATTCTATCAAGTTCATAACTATCGCGATATAAACAGAGACGTATTATGGAAATTTTGACTTCGAACATCAAGCCTTTGTCTGACTTCTCTATAATCCTTTGAGTAGGAGACTATCATTGAAGTGTTGCGTATCAGCTGTCCAGTCGATCTAGTTTGCACATATCCTGTCTTCATATTGGAAAGATCTTACAACCTTTTACAAACGAATTTATCGTAAACTATCTCAAAAGTTAATAGGAGCCGTACTTCATGCTAGTCGGAACTTATTACACCATTAAGGTATGTGTGGGATTCAAGACCAATCTACATGCTTTTCGCTGAAGAAGCCAGACTAGAACGTAATCTGGTTATTTCTGTTTTCGTGCTAACCGACTCCGACGAGATATGAGGAATATGTGTATCGTATTTCAAAATCCTTCTACTAGTTTACATTACAGGAAATAAAAAAAATAATGATGAATAACAAATATATCACTGAGTGCTGGTAATCATAAGAAATTAACAGTAAGTACTGAACTACTGAATATATATATAACAGCTTGTAATACATGAAAGGCTTACAAATGAATTGGCGCGGTTCAAATTCATCGATCCCGTTGTTATTGTTGTTGTCATTGTCGTTGTAGTTTCAGATTTCTGTAAAGCATCTTTAATAACTGGAACCAGATCGATTAAGTCACGATCAGATGCACTTAAAGTAAGCTTAGATATAGACTCATTGGCAGGATTTAAGTTTTCTGAAGAAAAAGAAAAGAAAGTCAAAAATAGTAGGAAAAAGGAAATATGAAATTCACTGTAAATTATTGTTAGTTATTCAGTTATAGACAATGTAGAACTTGACAAAAATATGCAACGCTTCATTTTTCTAAGATCTAGTGGATAATAATGGGTAGATGCATTTACGCCATTGCAGTCGATTTTCATCCATATAACACAATACACCTGCAAACACTGATCGCAGTTATTGCTCAGAAATGAAACAGATAGTCTGTAGCTATCAAAATGTATCACATCAGCGATTAACGATTTCATGGAATGAGGCTACATTTCCACTTGGCTGCTCTTAATTTTTCCAACCTACTACTAAGCTAGTAGGCATCGTGTGTCGAGGTAGGGATTGTTAGGCAAACATAATATTCGCTCTGACCACTTTGGTCGATGAAAACTCACGAACTCATCACAGAAAGTGCAACCTTTGCTTAGTAATCTATGCCCAAAATCAATATTTCTCACTTATTCACTCAAAAATACGCAAGTAATGCTTCGAAAAGACTTATGGTCAAAAACATTTCACATTTCACAACCACAAATTAGAAAGGGTGGACTGCTGCACAGTATATGAGCCTTTCGGTTTGTAGACGGATATCTTGTCTATGTCACAAGTGACACAAATCGGCAAACATAGGCTGTGACTTCTGAATCCGTGACTAGATTTTGTCAAACAACAAATTACTAAGGCTAATCTGACTTCCGTCTTAGGTGAAGTAGTTAACATGTTCAACATAGGGGAGATGGTGCGGATCGACTCTAGCTATACAACTCAGGACAGAAAAACAAGTGAATACAACGGCTAGACTTTAGTTGATGGATGCTACAATGAAGTGATGATCGAGACTGACTATGATGAAGATCCAGTAGAATTATATTAGCTGGAAAACTTGTTTCATAAGACCCTATTATCTTAGAAAGATGAGTCGCATTGCAGTAAGATTAAAAATAGCAAGTCATGGGTTTGAGAAAAAGCGTTAAATATTTTAGCAAAGATGCTCTTTCATGAGCAAAGTGGTAGTAAAATTTTGATGTCATGAATTTTCCATACTGAGACTAACAGGGAAAATAATCATCGACATAATGAATGTGGGTTATCGTGCCTTCGAAGAAAAATCTTGGCTTTATGATCACTTTGCTAAGCTGATAGGGCCATTAAAACCCAACTTTGTCGGTAGTTCCCATTTGGTAAATGTAAATACAATCAATACCTTTAAACGGACGACCTGGTACACACATACAGTGGTCTAAATCGTCATACTAGGTCAGTAGTACAGCGCAATGACATTATTAAGATGACTAACAAAAGAGCCGACATAAGTAGTTGTACTAATGAATGTATAAAAAATTTATTCTGAAAGAAGGAAATTCAGGATTTCAGGTAACATAAGGAATAAGACGATCAATACATCATTATATAATAACTTGAACCATCAATAAAAAGATAATCGTGCAGACCCCAACTAGGTAGGTTGTATAGGCTACACTAGGACTGACACGGTTATAAATAACAGCCACTGCCAGGGAAGTCCTACTCACTACCTTCTTGAGAGGATGAAAAGCGAATGTCCGGCGCTTTAACTGGGTTGGTGGACACGGAGTCTATCTTGGAGAGTTGGAAAACCATGATTCCAAGCCTGTGATGCACATGGGCTCCAGTATCCTGAAGGAACAAATGGCGTATGAACCAATTATTGGTCATCGGCTACCATATGATTGCATCTCTCTACGTCGCTTCGCTGTCTTGTGGATTAGATCTTTAGGTCGAAGGCTTGGGGTGTAGTTCCCTTAGAAAATCACCTGCTTAGGTTTTGGCATCCGGGCAGTATCACAGCCCACATATGTATTTGGTGACTCTTTGTACCAATATTTATGTGTTCAAATAAATAATAAAATAAATACCCAACAGTCAATAGATTAACTTAGATTCCCGGTTGAGAGCCTTGAACGAGAACTTATAAGGCGTCCCACACTAGGGCGAAACAGCCATTCAGTGCATCTAGGTTTTAAATGATGAATTAACTTGGATCAATTTTTAATATCAATAAAATAAATTAATAGTTCGCAAGTAATGTCATTTTCAAGATACTCAACATCCATTAGCCAGATACCATCAGCAACAGCCTACTGTGAGAGAGAACAAACCAGCTTCCAGTTGAAGAGGAAATTAGGGAAAAATGATGGAAATGGATACGACATACATATGCAAATCATCAAACTGCATCACGAAGCAATCCCTAACTTGGAATCATGAAGGAAAGCGAAAAAGTGGAAGGCCAAAGAACACATTACGTCGGGAAATAGAAGCAGATATGAAAGCATGAATAACAACTGAAAGAGCTGGAAAGGATTGCTCAGGACAGGGTTGGATGAGAGTGCTGGTGGGTGGCCTGTACTCTTCCACAAAAAATAACAGACGTAAACAAAGTAAGTAAGTAAATGTCATTTTCATGTTTTATTCCATGCAATGTGTTATTTCGTTTGAAAACTTTCACTCATATTGCATTCGATGTACACTAACAGTCATTTACAATGATGATTTTATTTGAAAGAGAACAGAACAAAACTTGTTACATTACAACTGTCCTGTCCAAAATGTATACAACCTTTTTTATATCATACCAACATCATCAGCGACCGAACTACAGTTGTGTGTGTGTGAGAGAGAGAGAGAGAGGAATATTGGAAATCTGAGAACTTAGACATGACCATAATTCAGTCACGGTATATATATGAATATGATCAAAATAAATAAATAATTATTTATTTATTTAAGAATTACGACAAACAAAATTAAAAACAAATAGAGTAAAACGTAACTGAATAAGTACTATACGGAAAAAAGAAATTGACCGGATTGGAGGAGATGGCGTAAAGAAATCGTTGTCTCCACACACACACACACATACATACATACAATTTGAGAAATAACTAATAATACCACATTCAAATATGACTTTACCATAAAGACCAAACAGTCAAACTCAGTATCTTACCAGAAAGATGTAACAGTATGATCAGTTGACTCGAGAGAAAAACAACTGATTGAAGCCACCTCTACGCATGAAAATCGCTTATGTAACATAAGCGAACACACACAGGATATGGGTTTCATTGCCTCACCTCCAAAAAGTAGGACACATCTATGTAAACAACCCATGGTTTTAACCATCGTGATATATATGTATAATACATATTACTTAACCTTTCGCCTTGTTCTTATTACACCATTTTAAAGACAATCGAAGTTCAAATAGACACTTGGAAAAAGATGGTTATATACACAAGCAACAACTTTCTTCAACAACGAAATACAAAAGGATTTCTTGAGTAAACTAAAATAATGAGGAAATATGTGTGTTATTGTCAAATTATAGGATTTCCTCCAATCGTTACTTTAGTTCTGTGTAACATAGATGAATCACTTATGGAAATTTTCTACCATTATTCTCGGATATATATATATATATATATATATATATATATATATATTAGAGAGAGAGAGAGAGAGAGGGAGGGAGGGAGGGAGAAAGATCATCAAATTCAATCAGGAAATGCCTAAACTCATCCTATAGGAATGGATACATCAGGAACAATCAATAATATGGAAATGATGCAAAAACTTTGAGATTTAGTGAAATATTAGAAAGAAAAAGTGGATACATCTGAGTTCAAAATCAGATGATCAATGGTTTGAAGGACAGTCGTACCTCAAATGTGTTCAGAAGAATATATGTAAGCTGTGAAGAGATCACTTTCAGCGAACTTGAAAAAAACAACATTCAGGTCTTGTAACCAGTACAACATCATTTGACCAGACTGGATGTGAATCGAATGGGCCTACCAATTCTCAATCTTACTTATTATTACATAGCAACTCACGTGCAACTGAGTTTGTTCTCATTTAACTGAGTTAAGCCCTTTTATTAACTTATTTAGCGGACAAAGTCTTCCGTACTATAACAACTTATTGTACCTTTATTATTGTTGTGCTTGTATGAAATATGTATGCTTGAACATTTGCTTACCGCCTACTCATATATTCATTCTGCTAGCTTTATTATTAACTGCTTAATTGATTCGATGGTTCATCCATTTCCTTATATCTATATCCATGTACATTTCACACTACACTCTCAGTTCGCTGACTCACTCATTCGCATCATTGCTTTGTGGTCTGAGTCATTTGCTAATAAAACTGTAGTCGCTGCATCCTCTTTACCTTCTGATTTCAAACACCGTTGAAGATTATATGGTAACGGTTACGAGGGTGATGGTCAACGAAGCACAGCCACTACAATCATTTGTCATCCGGGTGAGCAACATGGAGCGGTCGCTCTGTAGTTAAGATGTAAGACTCTCGACCACTAAATTCCAAGTTTGAGCTCTACTCCACCTAGTTTGGTTTAGAAGACTGGGTGGTATCACCAGGCCTTTTGTTTAAACTTCGTGAAATCCGATCTCGAATTTCGTTACTTATCAAACCACTAAGTTACCTATGATACTCCACGAAATACGCCGTAAACCGATTAAAGTGTCTTCATTGTATACCTCTTTTGATAATATAAGAACAAATAACCAAAAATAGCACAAAACTCACCACTTCTATATTGTTGAAGTTGTTCTATAGAAAAAGGCCCAAATACATCTACATATTCATCCGGTACTACATTAAATTTAAAACAAAAGGTGAAATACATAAAAAGTGGAATAGGATGAGAAATTATTGTAAAACAGACTGTATAACGGACACCTAACTACCTACAATTGAATAATTACTGAGTAATGACCAATCTCATGCTTGCCGAGTCCTTTTCAGTACTGAATGAATTCTACCAATCGATTTGTAATGTGGTCACAAATCTAAGTGACTTGATAGTGTGTAGACTATGTTAAGACATTAACCGGTTGAAGGTAGTCGGTAGGAAACTCTGGACCTAGGAGGACATCTGTAGCCTGTATAGCTTGATGGTAGCGTCTCTGGTTGCGAAGGGTTAGGGAGGTCCGAATTCTACATAAAGCATCGATTACGCTGATATGGCAAGTACAAATTGCTGACAAGTGTCAACTAGCACGAAACTTAAACCCATGGTTTTCTACAGACTGCCTCCAACTAATTAACATCTCAACCTGATCATCAATAGTAAAAGAAATATGGATACATAGCAAAAGTCCCGAATAATATTGAAGTATATACCAGACAAATAACTCATGTTGGATATTAATAAATAGTACATATACAGTTCTGCTTTAGTAAGTCAATTATAATCACCGTAGAGCATGAAATAAATATGCATCATCCCAAGTTCTTGCACCATATCAGTACGATAAGATAAATTCAAACAACATGAATACCGAGAAGAAGGAGTTGGGATTACCGTCGTATTGCCAGTGATAATGCGAAAAACTTTAAACAACGAAAAGCAACACGATCAAAACCGAAACACACAAGTAAACACAAAAAAAGACAATTTACACGTTGTAGCAATGTTAAACAAATTATCGAGTTACAATGTAGATTTTATCACATAGAGACTTTAGTTTTAAAAAAGTATTGGAAAAGGAAGTGCACTAAACACTCGCGTACCCACGGTTGTATCATAAGACCGAACTGACGACCTGTGGGTTTCGCATTCAGTAGCAATATACACTCGTATACCTGATTTTAAACTTGATGGCACTTGTTAAGCAAAGTGTGCCTGTAATCTTGAGAAAACTGATGCACCCTGACGGATTCGACTGTGTCAACTAACGTCCAGGGTTTCCTGTCGACTATCTCCAACCACCATCTCGTCTCAACATAGTGCACGCGATATTGAGTCACCTAGAGTAGTCGCCAAATTGCAACTTGATGTACATAATTCGATTTGTATTAAGGACTTAACACACATTAGATTGGTCACCATTCAATGATCAATCAACTGCAGAATGTATGTGTGCTAAATGAAATAAAATATACAAAATAAACCCTGGCATATGAAAGTAGTGGGTAGGTCTTCGCTGGTAGAAAGGCTATAAACGCGTAACCGTATGAAAACATTTCGATGGGACAAGTAGACACCCCTCTCCCTCGACAACACCAAGGCACTTGGGGGAAAAAATTACGCTCCCATGACTAAATCCAAGTCATATTGTCTAATATTTCTCCACAGTTGAATTGGTTATTTCGGTTAGAAAGATTATAGTTTCTTACAAATGTATTTGTATCATCAACCCACTAGAACTGATGATTGCTCAATGCACTGAATAAAAAGTTACTACTAACGATCTAGGTACAGTTTTAGACCGTAATCTGAACAGACATTTTGTGTTTCAATGAAAAGAAACACAATCCAAATAGTCACAGATCGGTTTCATTGTGTTTTATAAGAGAATATTGTCAGAGTCTTAACTAGAATGAGTTCTGGAGGTTGGTGAGAGCCTTTAAATAGCATTTCAATTTCTGAAAAAATAGACGAAGAAACATTTACATGTAGGGCCATATTTACGACAAAGACCAAATAAAAACAGCAAGAAGCAGATACTGATGAACGTTACTTTATGCAATGAATTCTGATGAGTTTTTCAGAAGCCATGTAGATATCGGCAGTTCTTACTATAACAAAGTCATAATCTAAATTTACTAAGGAAGTACAGGCTTATATTTTGAGCTTTAAGCCCATTTGTGTTGAAACAGATATTACTCAGCTGACTAGACCAAGGCAAGTGTGAAACCCAAGTACTCTACCAACCAGTAAACCACTGATTTTCCTGTTACGGGATCATGTACGAAAACTGTATCGTAAAATATAATCCATCGAAAAATTTAAATAATCAAAACACAACAAAATTTAGTAAAAATCATTTCCAATATCTGATAATTAGTAAACTATAAACACAAACTGTTAATAAACACAGAACTACTACTAACCGTTAGGAGCAATTCCTTCAGGATTGGCAGCAATCGACGGTGGAATAATGGTGTAACCTGCTTGAGCCAATGCTTTTAAAACCACAACAAGCGCTACTGAACTAGCTCTGAATCGAATATGCTGTGGTCGAACGCATAATTCATGATCACATGTATGAACCATGATGTTGGTATCGGTACTGGACATTGGTAAACCATGATACAGCATACCAACAATTGTATCTAATCTCCAAACCTAATAATAGAAATACAATCTGTTGACGTTCATAGATAAATAACACAAATTATTAACAAATGAATACTTTTATTAAAACATGAAAGTAATATTTATGCTCAAATCTTTAGAACTGAAATTAAACAACACCGATATTACCTTTATCAGTCTTTAGTTTAATTTCCTTTATGGAAACAATCAGGATGAAAGGTTATCAAACATAAATAACGTCACACAACAACTATGTACAAAAGGACTGTTTAGTCATGTTCAGATATTAAACATGATTTCCTGTCATTTGATATGAAATCTTAAAAATACAATAAATAACTTTGAAAGGATAGAGAAGAATTTTATTTTAGGTGGATAGTTCTGGCGTTGTTGAGCTTTATTAAGCTCGATACTTTAATTGAGTAGTTTCCATGGTTGTTTTGGACAACTTTATCTGACCCTAGTTTATTTATTTGAACACAAATATTATTACACATGGGCACCAAATACAAATGCGCCACACAACAACAATGAGGCCAGTAGCAGTTATAATTGATCTGCATGAGCTGTGAAACTGCCCGAATGCCAAAACCTAAGCAGGTGATTTTCTAAGGGAACTACACCCCAAGCCTTCGACCTAAAGGTCTAATCCACAAGACAGTGGAGCAACGTCAGGAGATGCAGTCCCATGGTAGCCGATGACCAATAATTGGTTCATACGCCATTTGTTCCTTCAGGATACTGGGGCCCAGGTGCATCATAGGTTTGAGATCAGAGTTTTCCAACTCTCCAAGATAGACTCCGTGTCTACCAACCCAGTTGAAGCGACGGACATTTGCTCCTCGTCCTCTTGAGTTCGTAAACAACACCCCGCCACGAGAAAGCAATGAGTAGGACTTCCCTGGCAATGTCTGTATACGCGTGGCCTTGTGAGAGAATTTCGAGAGGGAGAGCGGACTTTCCTTACACTCGGCCGTACCAGGGCATTTGATAGCATCTACACCTAGTTCATTTAAAGAGTTTACAAAATTTGACACGGCTCATTCTAGCAGTCAGTCAGTGACTTCATCGATTGATAACCTACAAAACTCGGCCCTAAAATTGCTTAAAATTTAAATAATCCTTTATCACGTTTATTCTCAGGTTTAGTATTTGGCATATGTGTTAATTTATTAAAAAGAAACTTTTTGTTAGATAATTGTACTTTCTTTAGATCATATGTTCGTTTGAGGCCTGAATCTGTGTTTAGATCTTGTGAGCACTGTATGGCCATGCACTCTTCATTGCCCTCAAATGCCCTGGTAACGTCGAGGATGAGGAGAGTCCGCCCTCGCTCTCCAAATGCTCTAATTATGACCATGTGTATATACCCACTGACAGGAAGGTCCAACTCACTCCATAAGAGGACGAAAAGAGAATATTCGACGACTAAACCGGGTAGGTGGGTACGGGGGATCCACCCATGGAAGTTGGAAAACTCTGATTCAAAATCAATGGTGCACATGCGCTCCACGATCCTGAGGGAGCAAATGGTGTATGAACCTACTCCTGTGTACCAGTCAACATGGACCAGCATCTAACATTGCTTCACTGTCTTGTGGATTATACGTCTAGGTCAAAGGCTCGGGGAGTGGTTCCCTAAGAAAACTATCTGTTTCGGTTTGAGGAAAAGTGCAGCATTCTAGCCCTCACACGAATTTCGCGTAGCGCATATGTATTTTTGTATTTTTTTGTATCAATGTTTGTGTTTAAATAAATAAATAATAGTTTAAAAATCCCCATAGAATATTCAAAAATGAAGAATATTTGAGCGTCTTTGAAAAGGTGTGAAGCTTTGAAAGTGGGTATACTGACCCGTCCATGTACTCTTTCTAAATATACCTCGGTTTATGGAACCGTCTATCCTTCTAGAAATATTCTTCATTTTTTAAGTAAATAATACTTGAATTCATAAGTCAATTAGAGCTAGACCACCATGGAAAATTTGGAAGCGCTGGATGGTCACTTCGTGCTAGTATGAGACTCCTCAGCAGTTCCCATCCACGATCCTGCACGCAGAACTCGAACCCAGGACCTTCGGTCACGCACGCAAATGCTTAACCTTACTACAATCTCCACAAACCGACATTCTGGAAATAATAAACTCTTCATTATAATCTAATTCTTCAGTGTACTAACCGAAGGTGTTCATCACAAATGCAAGACATTTCACTACCATGGAATTTTGAGAAGTGAACTTCTTGATAATAGAATTTTACCAAGCAAAATAGTTGACACCAATTTGTTTTTAACATAAATAATATATGCACTGGCGTTGTGAAGATAGGTGAATTTAATTTAAATTGCTAATCTACCTAGATTACCAGACCACTGGCAACCTGGAAGCACCAGATGAGTTTCCTCCTAGAATGAGATCTCATGCTGATAATCATCATGTGCTCCCTAGAAACTATCTTCGAGAGGAAATTTTGAAGTTCTAGGGAGCAGCCTTGACTAGTGGAGTTTGAGGAAGGCATCCACAATGGAAGATGATGGCGCAATATCGTGAACAGATTAAAGTTAGACCTGTACACCATCAAATACCGGCTCAGTGGTCTGAAGGTTGTGTTCGCGCACGAGACCGGAAGTCTTGAGTTTGACTCCCGGTGCCGATTTCACGGACGTGCACTGCTGAGAATTTCTATACCAGGAAGAAACAGTTGTCTGGTGGTTATGTTCTACTACAAAATCACTTCGCCAACATTCTTGGGATAATCATGAGATAAAAATGAATCAAATTCTACAATGATTGAAAAACAAGACGCATAAAATCATCCCAGTAAACAGTAGAAACTAAGTTGCATCCAGTGAATATAGACTTTAAATGATTAATAAGTAAATTAACTCATTCTTCAGGTACTTAGACATTAGTCACACTGTGTGAAAGATACTACTGCCTAGTTGCGCAAACCGAAGTGGAATGTGGTTCGAATCCGAAACTTAGTGGCTGAAAGTCGAACACCTTAGCCACTAAGACACTGTTCACATACAAATTGACATTTAGGAAAGATATAAAACTTACTTTATCAGAACCTTTGCCACCATCAATGCGTCGCATACGGCCTTTAGCATCACCACGGCTTATAACACAAGAATGCGGATCATTTAAAGTATCCTCACTTCCAAGCCAACATTTAAGAAACCAAAATACTGAGTCACTGGGCAACTCTTTATACAACTTCTTGAGCAGATTTGATACAGCATCAGTCTCACTCCCAGCATTCATCTCCTAAAAAATGCATGCAATTAATGGGAGTTAAGCTATATGTTTCGAATATTCTTCCAGTGATCAGTGGAAAATATCCATTAAACCAAATATCATTCTTTCCTGAATGCAAATGTTGCTATGATATAGTGCTTGAACTTAACTATTGTCCCAATCAGACTGAGTTTTGACTGGAACAATCACTTTTCATGATCTTATCAAACCACACAGGTCAGTTGAATAGCAGTAGGACGGACGATTCCGGACTATATAAGACACAGTAATAAACCATCGAGTTATCATCACCGCCCGAGTAGCAAAGATACGTCAAAACAAATCAACTAAATAAAGACTTTCTTAAATCTTTCGTGTTGTGTTCTAAACAGGCTATTTAGATTTATGCGGATGGCTTGAACGGCAGAAACCAATGCGTCATCTGAGTAGCTACGACTGATTTTGAAAATCATGTCAAAATCATCAATGATGATATAATATCAATTGAGCATTGCTTACATAATATACTCACAGATGTAGAGGACAAAACAATGCTCAACTTTGCTTATGGTAGTTACGTTCCCCAACAATTATTTACGTAATTTTCTAAATATATTTTCCCTCTCCGGATGTTAAATGTCTAAGTCTGGCCCTGCGTTGTTCATTCCCATAGGACTAACTACCAAGTTATTATTCAAATACTACGTGAATGACCCAGTTAACCCAGAAAAGGACCTTTGTTATAGATAATGAAGATAAACTTTTGACCCACTATTCAATGAAACAATCAGAACGTTTTTTTATAAGTTTTGGTTTACTATCACATAATTCATCACATAGCACATTGTAGAGTTATATATAGGCATCATTAGGTCTTCGACAAGTGTCTAGTGTATTATGAAGCCAGATTTTCCTCATCAACCGGCTCCATCAGCTTTACTCATTGATAAAGTACATTACTTACTTACGTTACCCCTCGTGGAGGAGCATAGGACACTCACCAGCAGATAACGTACATAAGAAAGAATTATTCATAAGTTTCGTAAGAGGTAATTTAAGTGCTAGTAAAAGGACAGACAAGAAACACTTATTGTGAGTGTTTTTCGTAGCAAACTTAAATAAGCATGACTACAAAAAAAAGTATTCTAGACCCTACTACAATAACTCAATTAAACTTTTGAGGCTGAAAGCCAAGAGAACGCATTGTATGATGAACAGCTGTTTCACTCAGATCCATAGGAATTTGAGGAGCTAATTTCCACACACTTTAGTTCTTACAACAAGGCATTTTTATGGCATTCCCAACCAACACAAACAATGATAAATCAAATATTGCATAGAGAATGACTTCTCCTAAGCTGGAAATTTCTAAACTATAAAGACTAAGCTAGGTAATAACTACTGAGTGCAAAAAGTGATAACAGCTTACTAAGGATAAATACCACAATACCATCCATCGATATGGTTAGGATGTATTCATCAATTGAAGCACACATCCGTAGATCAGTTTTCTTAATCACAGCTAAATTATAGGTCGCGAACTTTAATAATAAAGCTCTATTTCAGATTGACCGGATTCAGTGTAATTTCAAAGTAGTAGTAGCATATTTTAGTCGGGACTGAGGTCACTAACAAATCCCGTCCAAGAGGTGAAGAAGAAATGCCTTACATTGTGAGCCACTTAGGAATGATAAAAAAATTACAATCAGCACACAGGAAAAATTGTGACCAAAAAGGTTTTAAACTATTCATTACAGGGTTGAGTACATAAATGTATGTGGCCTAGAAGAATAGGGACGATAAGAATGGTGCCTTTCAGAACCAGCAGTAAAAGTAGACTACAATATAAAAGAGAACCCTTAATTATGTAACAAAGACTCGTTAATAATTTCGGAAAAATACGTAAATGAACCTCACATATCACCTGTTGGTAAAAAAAAAGCATCTACACGTGCAGATAGCAAACGCTCACCCGGATTTTTAATGCTATGAGACTCCAATCACTTTGGCTCTGGCCACTGTTACATGCCATGCGACGGTTTTCTTCCCGATTGCGTTCACGCATTGATGAAACACCCCGAAACCACAAAGGAGCAATGCGCTTGCAGCGTCCAATTAAGGCCCGAACAAACAATGCTTCACTAGGCTTGGCAGCCGCATGTACAGGGAACTTATGTGAGCATTCGCTTGGAAGATTCGGGACCTGAAATTCTGAATTGAGGGAGGGTAGAGATGATTGAGCGGAAAAAACATTTGATGACTCCTCGGCACAATGGACAGATAAAGGCTTTGTGTTTGAGTCCGTAGAACTAGAAAGTGAATTGTGATTGCTTTTATCTGATTCTGAATAAAATTCAGCTTTTGTTTGGGATGACAAACATACTGTTGTCGAAGTATCCAATTTATCGGAATCATTGAGTGGAAAACTAACTGAAGGTATACAAATCGAGTTTGAGTTTGGAAAGGAATCATCTTGGAGAACAGTACATGGAGGACTCAACTGATTATCACCGGGATTGTGAACAGAATATAACACTCCAGTGGACAGATTACTAAACAATGGTTCAGGTTTCACATTTATATTATTAGGCTCCATGCAGTTTATAAATTAGAAATCCCATCCATGCCAGCAGTATGACCACTAAAACATCAACGTGAAGACCGGGCCCGAAAAACGTTTGTTCAAAATTGCACACAGCCTAAAGTTTCATACGCGCTCTCTACCACTAAAACCCCTGTTGTTCAAATACATTTACTTACGCTAAAAACCTGTAATTATACTAAAACCTTATAGTAAAATCCTGTCACCTTCCGTTAAATGATAATGTACTAAGATGTGCTTTCCCGCGCTGTATTCAGATATATACGCAACGTTACTTAGTGTATGGATTCACTCCAAGTACAATTTCCCAACAATCCTACAGATGTACACGGGGATTGTAGAAACCATACTATGACCCCAATATGCACAGGGACATCTGTTATTGGGATTAAATATAGAGATGGAGTTGTTCTAGCTGCTGATATGTTAGTTTCATATGGCTCCCTAGCCAAATATATGGATTTCGAACGCATGTTTAAGGTAAGCAAGGTTTTTTTTCCTCAAAACTAACTTCATTAGGTAAATCAGAGCACGATTATGTGCTGCAGTGGTGATATGGCTGACTTTCAATTTCTCAAACATCACATTGAAGAGCTGACACATCAAGACAGTCTACTTTCCGACGGCTTTAGGCTGAGGTTTGTATCTTGGCTAATTTGGTTATTTTTGCTTTCAGCCCTCATGCTCTCCATAGCTGGATTACACGTGTCCTATATAACCGTCGAAGTCGTTTGCAGCCACTGTGGAACACCTACTTGGTCGGAGGTTTGGAAGCAAATGGCGAGCCCTTCATTGGGTATTGTAGTATGCTTGGTGTTTGTGAGTCACGTTCCATGTAAACATAGATTAATTTTGAACTATCTGAGTATTTCGATTGTTTTCCACTCCAACGCCCTATCTATCTTTCCTGTTCCAACAATGGATGTGACATCACATCCACCAAATTGCCATAGTAAACAAGGCCTATCGTAATACTATTTGATCAGAAATGTAAAACTGGTAAGGCACTGCCTTAGGACATCCGACATACCATGCTATTCTTTCGTTCAATCAATGAGAGGCTAGGATAGAATAATCTCAAAGACATCGGATTTCACCTTTAGCGAGACCATCATTTTTAAATGACTTGAGTAAGCCCAGTTGTCACTCAAATATCGCTTAAACTCCAACTTTTTCAGCCTTAAGTCTTGAGTAATCTACGATGTTCTACGTCCTAGGCAGCCTGGTAATGTTATTATCCTGCACACCTAATAACACCAGTGGTAAAGTATGTCTTCAATGCTCAGTTCAGGGCAAACTAGCCTCCTAATAGTCGTCTTAACGCCTCACAAGTAGCGTCCATGTAGGTCTCTTGCATATGCTAACGAACTTTTTACACATATATAGAACGAATATTGTCTATGTTCTGAATATCAGACATTTTTGGGTTACTTACTGTGTCACAACTTTCAAACTGAATAACATAAAGACATAATATTATAACGACAATTATCAAGAGTTGTAGCTTGTCGAAAATTATATCTTGTCCCTAGTATAGCAAGTATTTGATACTAATGACCTGTCACGTTTAGTTCACTGGACTCATAATGTTTGTATTGGTCAACTATTTACAGTTGCGTCACAAGCCTATAGTAACATTCTCATTACTCTGATTCTCAGTCTCCTAGACCTTGCCTTTTAGTCAACCCTTATCATCTTTGTAGCATTCACCGAAAATTATGTTGCGACTGGCTTTGGTGCATACCTTGCAATGCCTATTCTAAGAGAATGTTTGGAAATAAAAGCAGGGGGTGATCCAAACAATATAACGGAAGAAGATGCTATCTCAACAATAACAAGTGCAATGAAGCAATTATACTTTCGAGATTGCCGGTAAATATCTCAAGTTTTTTTAGATTATTTCAATTTCATTTAAGTCAAATTAATTCTTGAAATGTATTATTTAGTAAGTAAAGAATTTTGAATGTGTAAGATGGTGGCTAGAAGCTAATTCATAATCAACCATCAATTCACAGGGTCTTAATATTGTGACAAAAACTACACTTTCTTCTGGGCATTTACTAGAGTATCGATGAACATACTTAACTGATTAAACTCTAAGAAGTGCTTTTACAGGACTGAAAGGGGGCTGTACCCACACTCACTCTTAGTCAATCAGTTATGCTGAACATAGAACCTAGCACTTTTACATTAGTTCGAGTTTCCATACTCCGTTACAACAACGAGATGAAATTTCCAGGGCGAATCCCAGAATAGCAGAATCACTAACAGTATTTGTGATGCTGAAAAAGACTAGTCTCCAATGAATTGCTGACATTCAGTGGCAACACCATGTTAGTAATACAGAGGTACGGCAGCTTGTGTCCAGACACATTGACGGTGGTTCAATTAGTGTCATCATCTTGAAGCACCGTCGTCGGTGACCTAAACATGAACTACGAATTTCATTTCAATGAATTTCACATGGTGCATTATTTGCCAACGTTAGGACTGGTTGGGAAAAGCTGAAATGTAATCAGTTTATGACATGGTGCCATAGTATAACACAACATCGTACAGGACTGACATCTTTCGAATCTTCATGACTCTTTCTGTGGTCCAAGGAGTGGCGCAACTCAGTGGTTTGAAACATTATTAGAAATGGCTCGGAGTGACATGGCTCAGAATCGATCACAATGGAAGAAAGTTAGGGGCGGCCAAACCAAAACGTGGCATCAGTGCTTGAAAACACTAACTTCTAGTCTGAGCCATGTTGGTAGATGCAGACTACTTGGTTGGGTTCCGCGTGACTATCGTAACCAATGGTTGGAGACTCTTGGTGACATGGATCAGAATCGATCACAATGGCGTAGGTGTATACACTCTTTGTCTTCCCTTAAACTAAGAGATTAAAATCACTTCATATCTTTCTTTTTACGAACCAATTCTTTCTTTTTGTACTATATTTCTATATGCAATCTCTCTCTTATATATTACCACCTTTGACCTAACCACTGCTATGAATCCGGTGCTCATCTTGTTGTGCTGATGCGGTATGGCAACCTGGACCGATGCACATATGTGCCTGGTCCTACGTTGTAGCTGACTGATGACTCGGAGTTAGAACTTTCTCACTGAAAGGATTCGCTTGGGTTGTATTTTACTCAGCCTCTTTCCTTTATCTCCTCACAACCTCATTTTCTTGTTTGCACAGTGCACATTTTATTTTGGTGTTTATTTGTACTAATATATCAGTTTTAAATAAGCAAATAAACAGTCTCCCAAGTTGAAGATTGTTCTATTCTTAACAAAGTAGTAGAATTAATACTGGGGCATTAACCACCTTTTCTTTCAGTAATTAAAAGTGACACCAGTCCATGAAGTCATTAACAATTGGACTGACAGCCATAATGATGAGTATGGACTACCTGGTTGGGGTCCGCGTGATTATTGTAACCAAATTTGTGCGACTTTGGATGAATTAGCTCAAAAGCGTTAAAAGCAGCACAGGCTCATTCACTCTTTATCGTCTACTAGAAACTGACGTTCTGTCATCATACTTAATCTCTTCTGTTTCTACTGATACTGTTACATCTACCATTCTGGGAGTTTTTGCCGTGCTAGTGTAGTAGTATTACGACCTGAACTGATGGTCATACATAACAGGTTCTACGTTGCTTATGTAAAAAGTCTGATATTGTTCACATATAATTTGACCATCGTGTCAGTGTTTAATTTTTCTTGTTTCTTTCTTGGAAATTAACAGTGCATTCGATACGTATCAAATGGCCGTCGTCAATAAAGAAGGAATACAAATAAGTGGTCCATTACGCCTGAAATGTGATTGGTCTATTGCTGAATATGTAAAGGGATATGATTAAAAGACATTTTGTTTTAAAGCTTCTTTTTATGGGGAATAAATTTTTTGATAGGAAAAATATTTTTCATTATTGTTAAGAGTTTTTAAGTGTTCGAAATATTACTTACGCCTGCTTCTCCTAATGGAGCATAGGCCGCTGACCAGCATTCTCCAACCCACTCTATCCTGAGACTTCTTTTCTAGTTCTATCCAATTCTTGTTCATTCTTCTCATATCTATCTCCATTTCTCGACGTAATATGTTCTTTGTTCTTTCTCTTCTCCTTTGACCTTAAGGAGTTGTTCGGATATATTAACTTATGAATAATTGGTCAGTCAGATGCGAGCAATATTTGTAAGGCATCCGTGATCAAATACTAGTAGCTTACGAGTGTCTTCTACTCTTAATGGCCACTTTCCTCAGCTCTAAAGTAAAATAGAACGAACTTCCGCGCAGTATACTCTTCCTTTTATTGATAGACGGATATCTCGCCTTCGCCATAGGTGACGTAATTTGGCAAAAGCCAAACGAGCTTTTCGAATCCATGCTGAGATTTCGTCAGACACCAACCCATTAGGGCTGATCAGACTTCCACGATAAGTGAAGTTGTCAACGCGTTTGACTACTTTACTCCCTATCCTTAATCCAGGTGTTGACGCAGACCAATCCTGAAGCAACAACTTGCATTTGGAGGGGGAGAAACGCATCCCAAACATCCTGGCATTGTTACTCAGTGCTATCAAAAGACTCTGCATTTTGTCAGCGTCTTCACCAAACAGAACTATGTCATCAGCGTATTCTAAGTCGATAAGTGGACCTCCTGGAAAAAGATCAATACCCGAGAATCCAGTCGGCGAGAACGTTATTGCCATCAGTAGATCTATGATGAAGTTAAACAAAAATGGAGGAAGTGGACAGCCTTGACGGACACCACTTAAGATTGCAAAAGCAGATGACAGTTCGCCGTAAGTTCTGACTCGACTGGTAGTGTTCGTGTAAAGAGCCTTCACAAGGTTTATGTACTTCTGAGATAGGTCTTTCAATGACAGGCACTGCCACTGAATAATTGGTGACCTTAATGACTATACTTATCATCAACCGTTATATAATTTTAGGATTATCTATTTTGATTCGAATTCTTACCATTATTGAATAAGTTTTAGTTTACTCATTTTATCGATAATAAATTAAGAAATATATTACTCTGGGATTAAAAATATTCATATGAACAGCTAGTCACAGTACAAAATGTAACATATATTAGTTATACTCTGAATTCCTTAGTCTTATATTTGGTTATAAGATTACTGAACTCTAGCAAATATTCTAGTGAGACTATCATTTATGAATAATCTTTGAATGATTTCAAATTTACCTTCAATCATATTTTAGGTAGAAACAAGATTATGACTTAGGATGAGGCATTCGGATTAAGAGTTATAGTTTTCATCACGAATTGACGTCACTTATTATTGTCAAAATGCTATATGACCATGTGAGTAAATGAATTTTACATAAGAACTCTAAAGTTACTATCTTATTAGTTTATCCATAAATTATAGCTCAACCGCTGAATGGTTTAGTCGTGAAGCTTTAATTTTCTTTATAGACAACATTATCAATACATTTTTCAAAATGAACTGTTTAATCTCTTGCAATGAAGTCTTCATAAGAAGGATATAATTTATGCAGATGTCATTGGTACTAATTTTTGGAATGAACAATTATAGTGGTATGGAGAAAGCGTTTGCTTGTATTGTGAATAAACTTCCGTTGATGGTAATGCACCGTATAATATTTCGCAATGTTACAGTCTAGTCAACTGATAACTATTCAAAAGACTGAATCACTAACATAAATCACCACATGACTTCATTAGTTTTAGAATATTGGGGTCATGTGCCCACCAATAGAACTAAGACCCATCTGTCGGACTAATAAAGTCCCACTTTGGTCATTGTAAATGTGCTAGACTATACTCCACTGTCATTCCGTAGGACTAAAGCTTTCTAGTCTTCAATTTGTATCTGGTCTACGAACTAATTCTTTCTTCCTATACTAAATCCCTATTGCAATCTTTCTTTTATATATTACCACCTCTGAATTAATTACTTTTATGAATCCGGTGTCCATCTTGTTGTGTTAATGAGGTATGGCAACTTGGACCGATGCATATATGTGCCTGGTCCTACTTTGTAGCTTTTTATTGGTAGTCGGCTATTTAATTGCTTTGGTTACCACTGAACAATTTACAACCGAGTCTAATTATCCGGATTTCATTCGAAGTACATGTAGGCAAACCTTCTCCCGGTAGTGATTATCTTATGTGCATTATTGTTTCTATAAAATTTAGAATGATATAATTACATTTTAGTTAGACTGCTTAGTACCCGAATTTAGATAGTATAGTTCGTAGAAAGCAAATCTAGTTTATTGATCAGATCAACACTTTTAGAGGTAAAGCTTGTGATAATCTGCAATGCGATTTCCACAGAATTTTAGGTCACAGGTTATCAATGACAATTCCTCTTATCCATCCGTCATACAGCGGTAACTCGCCAACCAGGTACACGTTCTTATACACTAGACATGTAAAACTAGATGCTGCTAAATCACCGCTGAAGTCGATAAAGCTGTCAGGACGGAATGAGTATTGGGAAAGTTGAACTTTCGGAACTCCCATATCTGAAGTGGCAGATTGGTTGACGAGGTACTGAAGCTCTATCAAGTGAGGTGTTACGTTTGCTCAATTAACATCTGACGGGCGATGTGTGGTGTGAGAGTGGGTTGAAGGAAAGCCGACAGCCAGACTTACATGTGGCACTAGTCTATGAAGTCACTAACAGTCGAACTGAGTTATCTTGCTAAATGCAGACTACTAGTTATGATCCGCGCGACTTCCGTATTGGTTTGAGATTAAATGAAATGGCTCGAAATCGCTTGCAGTGACGAAGGCGCATACACTTTCCTGTGATGCATAAACTATTGTTTTATCTTTCTTAATTAACTACGGACCAATTACTCAATCCTCTTCCGTTTATGCTATGCTATTATTGTAATCTCTTAACTTCGTTGATGTGGTCAAGACTTTACTATATATTTTTGTGTGCTTCGAGTCATGATTGCATTGAGAACGATGGAAGCTGGTTGCTAACTTCTCTTTCGACTCACGGGATGGTGGGAAGTTTGAGAATGGCGGACCAGTAACAGTTAAGCTTGCGTCGGCTTAAGGTTAACGGCGTAGGTCGGACGTATGAATGGTCGTCTAGGAGACTAGGCTACAGACAGAATAGTGGAATAGAAAGACATAGTCAGAATCGACTAATGACTTGAGCACGACTTATAATACAGTGATAGGAAGTTGATTGTTTATATCAGTCACAAAATATATCGAGCAGTTATACTATTTGAAACATTAGCATACATTTAACCAGAAAACTAAAGTAACTTCGCCTAGAGATAAATTCAGTGTGCAATTACTGAAGATCGATGAGATGAATAAAAAAAAACCAGTTTGGCTAGTAAATAAAGTTTTAAAGTCGTTGACTCATGTATAGAATGACAGTGGTAATTCAGTGAGGGATAAAAAGTGAATAATCTCAGAATAACATGGTAGTGGACTGTAGGGTTACAATGTACTCGAAGCGTTTCCCGTGACGAAAATAATAACAAGCTTCTAACTGAAGTTTGTGCTGATGATGTTGTTCAGAAGAACAATGAAATCTCACAGAACAAAACTTCACCTATAACGACCGAAAATTTCAGTAAGCTTGACTATTTATGTATATATATATATATTTATACAGAGGTTATTTGTACAATGAAATATGCAAAAAGAAACTATAATGGTGAAGATAATCTATGATGTTTCAGCTCCACTCCCACCATTTTCATCATCTGTATCTACACAGCTGGACTGACTCTCTTCACTTAATCTTTCCCAATAATCTGATGGTACTTCAAATGCTAATTCTGATTTTTGTGAAGTACTATTCACTCCACTGGATTCAATATTATCACCACAGGCATAATTATTGTCACTATTACTAATGCTAGCTTGAGTATTAGTCTCTTCATCGGATGAAGAACTATCACCTCCAAGATATTCATCCCAACTTTGTAATCGACTGGCTTCTTTATCTTTAGATTCACATACTGAGTAATTAGTTTTACCATCCCAACGTTCCGCTTCTAATTGTCTAGCTCCTCCAGTACCAGGATAATCAACAAATAATGCCTTAGATAGGAATTTGATTCCTGTATCTGCTTCTTCTGGTGTAGAAAATGTTACACTGACGACGCCTTCTGGATGAGCCTAATTGTTTAGAACAAGAGAAGAGAACGAAGAAATTCATTCAGTGGACAAAAATTGTATCGTACCAAGAGTACAGATAGTCAACAACTTAGAATAAATGATCACCAGTGATCATTCTACATTTATAGGATACTGTTGTCATCTAAGAACAGTAGGAATATTAAATAAACAAACAAATACAATCTAAAAATTGAACCGATCTCCATGCCAGATTATTATCATTACAATTATTGTCATTATTAATACTGTTATTATTATTACTAGTATTATTGTCATTATTGTTATTATTATCATTATTATTATTTTCCACATTACTCACCCTCTTTTATACTTATACAGCGGCTCGTCTTTGGCGGAAATCCGACTGTATCTAAACGTTCTCGAGTCACTGTCCGGTTGAAAATTGTATGTTACCACCGAATACGAGGACTGAAGCAGATTTTCTGAAACCACGTGCACCATTCAAACTGGCTGCCTTCAACGTTCGCACATTTATGCAGGTCGGACAACAGATAGGGCTGGCTATGTCTTTGGAAAGTCTTAATATCGACGTGTGTTGTCTATCCGAGACCCGTATTCAAGACTCTGGCGAAGTACTACAAATTCGATCTCCATCTGTCGCTTCGAAAAGCTTGTTTTACGTGCGCTTATCCGGGGACCCTGTGGCATCTTCGTCTGGTCTTGCTGGCGTTGGTGTCGCACTAAGCGCTAGAGCTGAGGCAGCACTAGTCGATTGGATCCCCATTAACAGTCGGTTATGTGCTGTTAGATTAGAAAGTTCCATCAAAGTGAGAAGAAATCGGCGTGAGAAACGATGTCTTTTCGTCATCTCCGCCTATGCCCCGACAGATTGCAGCCCGGATGCAATCAAGGATGAGTTTTACCACCAGTTATCAGTTCTTCTCCAGAAAGTGCGTTCGACAGATATTGTAGTACTAGCCGGAGACTTGAATGCTCAGGTCGGGCGTCTAGGCACAGAAGAGAGTCGTTTAGGTGGCCGATGGGGACTCGTTGGTCGCAGGTCAGATAACGGGGACCGTCTACTGCAACTTTGCACAGACCACAACCTGTTTCTGGCTAGCACTAACTTTCGGCACAGTCATCGCCGATGTGCCACCTGGCGTCCTCCCTCTGCATCTCAAGCCTGGACTCAGATTGATCACATCGCGATCAGCTACCGCTGGCGTGGTTGTGTACAAGACTGCCGCTCCTTTTGGAGTACCTATCTGGACTCTGACCATGCCTTGGTCTGCGCCAATCTTGCCTTACTTTTCAGTGGACAACGAAGTGAACGCCATCAACGGATTGATGTTAGCAAGCTGGTTGCAACTTCTGTTGCAAGTAAGTATCGAACCGAGCTAGCCTCTAGGCTAGCTACCACTCCACCGAAAAGTATAGATGAGCATTGGTTGCAATTGCATGACGCCATGAAAATGGCGGGAACAGTCAGTTGTGGGTTTGCGAAACGTCCCGCCTTTAAGCACTGGGTTTCTTCTGGTTCCTTACAACTCATTGAAGCCCGTCGGTCTACTCCGGGTGACCGTGAGTTTGACCATAAACGAAGGATGTTACGTAAGGAAATTGGGCAAAGCTTGCGTAAGGACCGAGAAGCCTGGTGGTCGATGCGTGCTAATGAGCTGGAAGCAGCAGCTGCATCTGGTAACTACCGGAAGCTCTTCCAGCTCATCCGAGCCACTGGCAGCAAGAAGTCTGGTGTGAGTGAAACAATCTGCGAGGATGATGGGATGCCAATCACTAACATCCATCGACGTCTTGGACGATGGGCAGAATTTTTCGAAGGGCAGTTCAACTGGCCTGCTGCTCCGGCAACATCGGTCAGACTGTCCTGCCCTCCATGGCCGGTGACGACTGATCCACCAAATGAGGAGGAAGTCCGCAAGGAACTCCAACTCTTGAAGCGTTACAAATCACCTGGCCCAGATGACTTACCTCCGGCTCTTTTTAAAGATGGTGGTGACTTTTTGACTAAGGAATTGACGACGTTGTTTACAAAGGTTTGGGAACTAGAGTGTGTACCAACGTCATGGAATGAGTCGATAGTTGTCCCTATCTTTAAAAAGGGTTCACGTCGTTCTTGTAACAACTATCGGGGGATAAGTTTACTTCCGATTGCGTCCAAGCTATTGGCTTCCGTCATTCTTCGTAGGTTGTTCAAAACCCGAGAAAGATTGACTCGCGAGGAGCAGGCTGGGTTTCGTTCTGGTCGAGGATGTATTGATCATATCTTCACCCTCCGCCAAATGTTAGAACACCGCCATACTTTTCAAAGGCCAACAATCGTAGTGTTTCTTGACATCAGGGCTGCCTTCGATTCGTTGGACAGGACTGTTCTCTGGGATTGTCTATTGAAGAAGGGTGTGCCTGAGAAGTTTATTAACATCCTAAAAGCCCTATATAAAAACACCTCAGGCAGAGTGAGGGCATACAACCACCTCTCTCCATTGTTCCATTCGAGCAGTGGGGTTAGGCAGGGTTGCCCAATCTCACCATTCCTCTTCAACTTTGCCATCGATGACATTCTGGAAACAGCTCTGATGAATGTAAGTAATGGTGGTGTGGATCTGTTGCCTGGAGAAAGACTTCTCGACCTTGAGTATGCGGACGATATTGTCTTACTGTGCGATAATGCCCAAGGCATGCAATCCGCACTTAATCAGTTGGCAATCAGTGTCCGTAGGTATGGTATGTGCTTTGCACCTTCGAAGTGCAAAGTACTTCTACAAGACTGGCAGGATTCTAATCCTGTACTCACCCTGGACGGTGAGCAGATAGACGTAGTTGAGAAGTTCGTGTATCTGGGTAGCTGCATAAGTGCTGGTGGGGGTGTGAGTGATGAGATCAATGCACGAATAGTGAAAGCCAGAGCGGCTTATGCCAATCTGGGCCACCTTTGGCGCCTTCGTGATGTTAGTCTGGCTGTAAAAGGTCGGATCTACAACGCGTCGGTGAGAGCAGTTTTGCTCTATGCTTGTGAAACCTGGCCTCTCCGAGTTGAGGACGTTAGACGACTCTCTGTGTTCGATCATCGCTGTCTCCGAAGGATTGCTGACATTCAGTGGCAACACCATGTCAGTAATGCAGAGGTTCGGCATCGTGTGTTCGGGCACAGAGATGATAACTCAATTGGTGTCACCATCTTGAAACACCGACTTCGGTGGCTTGGACATGTTCTCCGAATGTCGTCCCAGAGAATTCCACGTCGTGCATTATTTGCCGACTCTGGGACTGGTTGGAAGAAGCGGAGAGGTGGTCAGTGCATGACATGGTGTCGTGGCATGAAAGAAAGCTGCAAAGGACTGGCTTGTGTTGGTCCTTCACGACTCCCTGGTTGGGGTCCGAGAGATGGTGCTACACAGTGGCTAGAGACGTTATCAGATATGGCTCAGAATAGAAGCCAGTGGCGATCCTGCTGTAACCTTCTTTTACTTTCTTTCTAAAAAGTGGTTGTGTCTCCTTTACCTGAAAGATTTCTTCTGATTGTACCTTTTCGTTCCGTCGTTACTACCACACTACCTTACTCCAATCTCTTCGTCATTGTTCTCTTTTTCTTTTGCGTTCCCTAGTTTTTTTTTCTTTCTATTTCTCTTCGAATTTTCATTGTTTTGTGTGGCGCATATATATTGGCGCTCTCTTGTACCAATATTTATGTGTTCAAATAAAAATAAATAAAATAAACTAAAATAATCAGCTTACTAGTAATTTGGTTCAATGTATTCTAGAAGTGGTTGGTGAAGCTCAGAACTGTTTGGAATGAAAAATTCGTAACTAATAGCATTATATTGCAAAGTGACTAAAGCTGAAATTGGACACCGACCTGGTGGTTAGGAGCTTGTCACGAGATCTGAAGGGGTTCCTACGGTACGACACCTGATGGGTTTTGATGAATCCCACACTAGAACGAAAGAGCTCTTCAATGCTTCCTAATTTTAATGGCGGTACAACTGAGATCAATCGGTGATGAATACAACTAAAAAGTTAAACCAGACTCGACAAAACCCCTACACTTACAATATCAAAGATTATCTTCATTATGTTACCTATATTGAAAGAGATCATACTACAAAGGGTTTCCATTATCACAGAAGTAGATTATGCGTTAAAACATTTAAACACTAACCAAATAAAGGAAATTATGTGGAATTCCAAAGCTTAGAATTTGGGGGAAGACAAAGAGTGGATGCACCTGCACTATTGTAGACGACTTTGAGCCATGTCATTCAGTCTCTAACCATCGGTCACGATAATCACGAGGACCTCTATCAAGTAGTCTACACCTATTAATATGGCTTGGTCCAACTGTTAATGACTTAATGGACTAATGCAATGTTTTGGTTTAACTCACTAGTTTTCTTCCAGCCTACTCCTACATCAGATAACATCGCCCATGAAGGTAGGTGTTGGTTGGGCAAACGTAATACATCCCCCAACTACCTCAGTTACTGTCTTATCAATCTATTTGTCATCCTAACTCAGTACCCTATTCCTAACCCAGGCACTGCTTACTCAGTGGTCTCAAAATAAACGAACAACGCTTTGAAGACGTCTATAATCGAATACTAATAGCCTGAGAATATCCTCTACTCTTAATGATGATGCTTTACATCCACCAAGCAAAATGGAGCGAATTGTTGAGCGGTAAACTAGTATTTTGTTGCCAGATAGATATCTCTTCTATGCGATAACTGACCAAGTTGACAGAAGCTAGTCGAACCTTCTAAATCTGTTCCGAGATCTCGTCAAAAACCGGACCCCCTAAACCGATGAGACTTTCAAGACAGGTTGAGCGGTCAGCACGCTTAATTAATTCACTCCTAACACTAATCTAGACGCTGACGCAGGCCGATTCCGAAGCAACATTTTGAATTTCGAGGGTAAGAATCGCATTTCGAACATGCTTGCATTGTTACTCAATGTGGTCAGAATACTCTGAATTTTGTCAGCGTTTTTACCAAACAAGTGAATTTCCTGGTAAAAAAAAATCAATCAGTCAGAAAACATATGATGTAGTTCAATAAAAATTTGGAAAATGGACAACTAACATCGATCAGATCTTTCTCCCTTTTATTGAAGATAACCATATATGATATGGCGCTGAAAATCAAAGATCAACTTGTACTAAACAATAGGCAGTGTTTTCTTCTTCTTCAACAACAACAAAACAAAAAAACAACACATATTTTCAGTAATAACTTACATCATGAACCACAATCTTTTTGATAATACCACATTTGGCACATTGTACACGTAAACGTTCTCTTACAATTGGAATTAAAGTAACATCATTCTGTTATAAGAAAAGATCAGTAAAACAACATATACTCCAATATTGATTTATGTAACAGTGTAAAGAAAAGAAATTTATCAAACTGAAATTATTGTCACATTATTCCGGGGACGTACGTACTAGTCCCATCAAAGTTAAGCACGACAATAAATATTCCAATATCTAAGTTTAACGGTAAGTTATATGAAAGAGTGTACTAGTAGCCGATCTGACGTGTTTTCGAATTATTGCTCGAATAATTTGCGACCATCTAATTAGTGATTTTGAGATTGGACGGAAAATGTTAGGTATGTATGACAAATTGAGTGAAGTGGTAATGAATCATTTTCGGCTTATATGGTTAGGATAATCTGGAACCGATGTCTTAATGTACCAGGTTCTACGTTGTATTTGAATGACTGAAGAATAATCTTTGTCAATTCGAAAACCTGTCACAGTACGTCATTTATCCATGATTCTACAAAATTGATATTATGAAATCAAGTCAACGATGATTATTCCATTTCGAAATCAATGGAATACATCTGTCAGTCAGTCCGTAACAACGTAGAACTTCGTACGTACGTACGTACATCAGTTTGAGTTGCCATACCACATTAACACACAGATACAATTGTCGACTCAAATCCCGTAGTGGTAGAGGTAGTAAAACATTGGGGACCGAAGACGTTATTCAAGGGGTATAATCCAGTGAAATAAATTTGGAGGGAGAAAAAAGAAAGGTGCATGAAGAATTCAAAAGATTAGAATTCGGGAGAACACAAAGAGTGGATGCACCTGTGCCATTGCAAACGATTTTGAGTCATGTCATTCAGGGTCTCTAACCATCGGTTACTATCATCTCGCGGATCCCAACCAGGTAGTCCACACCTACCAACATGACTCTGTCCACTTGTCAGTGACATCATGGATTTGTGCCATGTTTTGGTCTGGTCGCTCCTACCTTTCTTCCAACCTACTCCTATACCGTGAAACATTGCACGTCGGTGCAGTTGGTGGTTGGGCATACGTAATACGTGTCCCAGCCATCTCAACTGGTGAAGTTTCACTACGTCATCAATTGATTTGCCATCCTTACCTAGTACCCGTTTCCTAACAACTGCATTACTCACTCAGTGGTCCCAGGATATACGAGCAATGCTTCGAAGACATCTCTGGTCAAATAATAGTAACCTATGAATACCCTCTACTCTTACCGGTCATGTTTCACTGTCATAAAATAGGATGGAACGAACTGCTGCTAAATAAAAGGTGACTTGTTAATACACCATTAACTTCGTTACAAATGACCATTTTGTATTAACAATCATTGTATAGACAAAATTTATCCATAAAAGATAACTATTTGTTGTGATTAAATAATCTTTAAAAAAAGATAGAAATAAAACATAATTACCTGAAAATCCAATTCATTAAATGCATTTTTAAGAATAACAACTCGTTCTTTTTTACCACGTATAAATTTACTTGTATCAATACTCCATCGAAATAAACTAATAAAGATAAATTGAAAAAAATTACAGAAGAAATATACAATTTGAACAATAGTAAGAATTACTCAATTCAATTTATTAACAAATAGATTGATTGAATTCAATGGACTTCAATAGTCAAGTATATATTTTGTAAACTTAAATTTCAGTTATAATTCTTTATTTGGACGTTATCGGTTGTTGAATGGAAAATTACAGTTGATGAACACGATGGATCTGATGCAGATGTGAAGGTGCGAATCGGCAAAGCAAGAGCAGCATATTCACAACTGAGGAACATCTAAAACACAAAGCATCTGTCAACCAACACCAAGGTCAGGATTTTCAATACAAATGTCAACACAGTTCTACTATATGGGGCAGAAACCTGGAGAACTACGAATGCCATCATCCAGAATATACAGGTGTTTATTAACAGTTGTCTACACAAAATACTTCGGTTCCGTTGGCCAGACACTATCAGCAACAACCTACTGTGGGAGAGAACAAACCAAATTCCAGAGGAGGGAGAAATCAGGAAGAAGTTCTGGAAGTGGGTAGGACACACATTAAGGAAGGCACCCAACTGCTTCACGAGGCAAGCCCCCGCATGGAATCCTCAAGGCCAAAGGAAAAGAGGAAGAACAAACAACATATTACACCGAGAAATTGAGACAGACATGAGATGAATGAACAACAATTGGATAGAACTAGAAAGGAATGTGCGGGACAGAGTGGGTTGGAGAATGTAGGTCAGCGGTTTATACTCCATTAGGAGTAACAGGCGTAAGTAAGTAAGCAAAATTAGTTTTCTTAAGATATGAAAACCATACATTAAATGTATTATTTGCACATTTTCCTTGAGTTGTCCTTTACAAGCTTCATGGTCCTTCCAGTTCTGGTGTTATTACAATTGTTCTCTATTTCCCTTCATCTTCTCTTCATTTCAATCTTCTGCTGCCAGGCATTTCACTTCTGAATGGTGTTACATCCTACTTATATCTGTCAACATAAGTGACATACACCACAGTAAAACTACTATTACTAATGGACTTCCAACATGGGCAAAATTGTAGGGCACTTAGGTCACAAAACTACCTCTCCAAGGAGAATATACATGAAGCGAAATGTAAGCATGTAGCATACAACTTTCATTGAGTCCTGGCATAAAACTATGGAGATATATGCATTAACTCATTAGATGGTGGTCAACAGGAAACTCTGGACCAGGCTTTCGTGCTACTTAGCACTCGTCAGAAAGATGTACCTGTAATCTTGAGGGGACTGGTGCTCCCTGATGGATTCGACCCCGTGTCACCCATCTTCACAATCAGAGACGTTACCACAAAGTTATCCGGGCCGCGACGTGGCCGATAGCATTCGATTTGCACTAAGAAGGACTTGACAAACATGAAATTGATCACCACCAAGTGATCTATCAATTGTGAGCACTAACGCCTCATTATTGGAGAAGTTATCCCAATGAAATTATTTTACGTAAATAAAGATTGAGATGTCACAACTCTCATTCGTTATTGATTGATATAATGAGCAAGGAATTAGCATATTAGATTGTGAATAAACTACCAAATTCATTTTCTCCAGTCATGTGTGCATGTAGTTAGATGTTTAAGTACAATATTAAAACATGGCAAAATAGTAATATCTATTGGTTATAGCCGTTTAATTGTATGATATCGTACATTTGTGTTCATACAGTAAGTTAATGAGTAATTATCATCAGGTATTACACAACTGTTGAACAATGTAAATAAAACATATTTAAAAAAAGTTTATTCACGTAATATTTAGATTTATTTTCGGTGTCAGATAAGTCCCCATTCATCATCTTTGTGCTCTTATCTGCGATGTGCGATTCACGGTTTCTAGTAGTAAATATAAGTTTACCTCTGTTATATCATTGACTCCTCCTGTAGCTCTTCTAGGGTTATTGCCAGTCCCAAGCCCGGGTAAAGGAGAGTTCGGCATAGGATCAACAACCCCATCCAGTAGAAAACAACCTTGCCAAAAAGGATGAATAGCAACTCGAAACAATTGAAAAGGATTTCCCAGGACAAAGTTAGATGGAGAATCGTGGTGGGTGGTCTAGTCTCTTCTAAGAAGGGTAGCAGGTGCATGTTATCAATGACAAACATTAATTGTATTAATTAACACAGAACATTACCAACACTTAGTAGACTAAGAAATTTGATAATGAGAATCAACAGACAAATACACGGGTAGTGTGAAGTCAGCTCTGAGTTACACTTTGGAATGAAAGAGATAATGGAATAATCCAGCTTTTTCAACTCAACTAAACGCAACGAAGTTAATTAAAACGAGCCAAATGTTAGCATTTAAGTGATATAAAAAGTGAATGCATCTTCGCCATTGTAAACAATTATGAATGATTTGACTGAACGTCTACAATCACTGATCGCATTTATCGCTCAGACTTTAATCAGTTGGTCTGCTTCTACCAACACGACTCAGACCAATAATCGATGATTTCATGAACTGATGCCATATTTTGGTTTGGTTGCCTTTAGTTGTCTTTTTTTTCCAATTTACTCTTACACTAGTTAGCATTGGCCATCGAGGTAGGTAATGATTATATGGATCAGTGTACTTGGTAAATGAGTTACATAAATAACATAAAATAGTTAGGAGAATAAACACTCACTAACTCCCATTGTCACACTTGACGAAGCAGTATAACAAGAGACGAAATTACCGTGATGAAAATATAAAATATATAGGATAGAAATGACGACACTAAGCTCTAATATAAATCTTACTTTTCTTGTTGTTCTCTCAATTTTTTCTTTTCTTTAACTGTTAAACGTCGACGTTTCTTAGGATCGAATTCTCCTTTAGGTTGAAATTTAGCACGTTCCACATGAATAGTATAACCAGGTGTATATAACATACCATCGAGAATTTTTAATGCAAGCTCCACTGATTCAACCTGATTGATTAATTTAAATGGAATTCAGTATTCCATAGATAGATATACATATACTATTGTCGTTGTTTGTTTGATGAGATGTATATTATACTTAGGGGATTGTTATTTTGTGTTTAAAAGCATGTATATACAACACATGTGTGATCGATATTAACCCCATAAATATTTTAATAAAGATGAACATATAATACCTAAATAAAAAAAAGATCATTTCTATTACAAATTGATATCACTGAAAACCGAGTGATATTGGACAAGTGTTCCTCTGACTTAAAGTTGAATTTCTTAGAATATACAACCATAAATAGTAATAGACTAACTATGACGTCAAATTGCAAATTTAAAAAAAATGAAACATGAAGTTTAAATCAGTCAGCAACAACATAGAACTTCGTACGTACGTACGTACATCACTTCGAGTTGCCATACCACATTAGCACAGAGATGCAGTTGTCAACTCAAATTCCGTAGTGGTAGAGGTAGTAAAAGTATAAGCAGTAATCGGAAACATTAGGGCTTGGAGATGTTATTCAAGGAGTATAATCCAGTGAAATACATTTGGAAAGAGAAAAAACAGAAAGTTACATGAAGAATTCAGAATAAATAAATAAACTTGGGCATGGTAAGTTGAACCGATGTACATAAGTACCAGGTACTAATGTTGCAACTGAATGAGCTTATGAGTCGTCATCAACTGATGTAATTGGGACATGTGTCACGTATGCTCAGTCATTATCGCCTACCTTGAAGCGCGTTATTAGCTGGTATAAGAGTAGGATAAAATGGAACTAGGAGTGTTTAAGCCAAAACGTAGCATTAATCCATGAAGCTATTGACTGTTGTTCTGAGCAATGTTGTTAGGTGTAGACTACTTAGTTGAGATGCGTGCGATAACCACGATGAGTGATCGAAGACGTTTGGTGACATGAGTCACAATAATGCGCATGCAGTCACTTGTTGCTGTCCCTTAGAACTTGGGTTCCAAAATTGACTTATACCTTTTGTTTTGTAGGCTCATTCTTCGTCAATCATAATTAATGTCTAGTCATTTTTTTACTACCATTGGTGGAAATACTTTTGCTACTTCGTAACTTATCCTATTAGTTGATTTCATCGTACTCATGTGGTGTGGCAACTCAGATCGATACACTTATGTTCCAAGTTTTGTGTTGCGTGCGACTGACCGATCTACTGGTTGAAAGCTGAAACCTTAAACAATTAAGCTGTTGCTTTCTTCCCTCACCAAATATTTACGGGCTACTTTACTACAATATTTAATGATATTCACTTGTATCCCTAAATATCGGTAGTCCATGTGGGATTAGGATCTATGACTTGAAAGTCAGGTCTATTAGTAGTCTCCTGAATAAATGGATTTTTTTATGAACACACTGAAAATGTACGCTTTTGCAAAAATCTTGGAAAATTTAATACGAAAACATTTTTCCACTTTACAAACAGTAATGGACGATAAAATACACGTGAATGAGCATAGTTATAGTAAGAATAGTGTGAAGAAAATTGAACAATCACCTGAATAAGTATTTGAGAATGTCTTATATATGGAATACGTGACAACAAAAGCAAATTAAAAAATTAGATTTGGCACTGGGAATGAGTTTTCAGCATGGGTATGTATTAAAACAATTCCAATTCAATCAACATAACTACAGTTAAAGTCTACATTAATACATAAAACTGTAACGAACAGCCCCACTTATAAAAAATATGACTTACTCTGACATAACAGCAACGCCCATCACCTTTAGGAATACCAGCTTGATCCTTGTACAATTTTATACGAGGTATATTAGTAAAGGGTTCATTCATGATAACACCGCATTTTGACATTAGTGCTGAGAATTCCTCATCGGTTATTGTCGGGGGTAGGCCACTGACATACACATGTGTATTTTTACTCTCGTCTATCTGAATTTAGCAAAGTAAACATTGCGTAAACAATGAAAACAAATAAGTAAATAAGGATGAAAACGAAATTATTTAATGGTACTTACAACCATTTAAGAAGGTAGATTGGATGAGCACTGCCGAGGAGTCCCACAATAGAACGAAACGGCCGTCCAGTGCTTCCATGTTTTCTATGGTGGTCTACCTTCAACTGACTCATGATCTCAACTTCAGTCAGTCAGTCAGTCAGTCAGCTACAACGTAGGACCAGGCACATATATGCATCGGTCCAGGTTGCCATACCTCATTAGCACAACAAGATGAACACCGGATTCATAGGAGTGGTTAGGTCAAAGGTTGCAATAAGGATATAGTATAGGAAGGAAGAATTAGTTCGTAGAAAGAAAGGTATGAAGTGATTTTAATCTCTTAGTTTAAGGGAAGACAGGGAGTGTATACACCGACGCCATTGTGATCGATTCTGGGCCATGTCACCAAGAGTCTCCAACCATTGGTTACGAAAGTCACGCGGACCCCAACCAAGTAGTCTGCATCTACCAACATGGCTAAGACTAGAAGTTAGTGACTTCAAGCACTGATGCCACGTTTTGGTTTGGCCGCCCCTAACTTTTTTCCAACCATCCCCTACACCGGTTAGCATTGCACGTCGTGGTAATCGGTGTTCAGGCATACGTAATACGTGGCCCAACCATCTCAGTCGATGAAGATTCATAACCTCATCAACTGATTTACCATCATTCCCTAATACCCTGCGTCTAACCTCACTATTACTTACCCGGTGATCCCAGCAGATGCCAGCAATATTTCTAAGGCATCTGTGGTCAAATACTAGTAGCTTACGGGTGTCTTCTACTCTTAAAGGCCATGTTTCGCTGCCGTAGAGTAAGACAGAACGGACTGCCGCGCAGTATACTCGTCCTTTTATTGATAGACGGATATCTCGCCTCCGCCAAAGGTGACGTAAGTTGGCAAAAGCCAAACGAGCTTTTCGAATCCGTGCTGAGATTTCGTCAGACACCAACCCATTAGGGCTGATCAGACTTCCAAGATAAGTGAAGTTGTCAACGCGTTCGACTACTTCACTCCCTATCCTTAGTTCAGGTGTTGACGCAGACCAGTCCTGAAGCAACAACTTGCATTTAGAGGGAGAGAAGCGCATCCCAAACATTCTGGCATTGTTGCTTAGTGCTACCAGAAGACTCTGCATTTTGTCAGCGTCTTCACCAAACAGGACTATGTCATCTGCGTATTCTAAGTCGATAAGTGGACCTCCTGGAAGGAGATCAATACCCGAGAATTCAGTCGACGAGAGTGTTATTTCCATCAATAGGTCTATGATGAAGTTAAACAAAAATGGAGAAAGTGGGCAGCCTTGACGGACACCACTTGAGGTTGCAAAAGTAGATGACAGTTCGCCATAAGCCCTGACTCGACTAGTAGTGTTCGAGTAAAGAGCCTTCACAAGGTTTATGTACTTCTGAGGTACGCCTTTCAATGACAGACACTGCCACAGAGTCTCGCGGTCTACAGAGTCAAATGCTGCTTTTAAGTCAAGAAAGACCACCATCGTCGGACGCCGATAGGTATGCCTGTGTTCTAGAACCTGACGAATGGTGAATATGTGGTCGATGCAGCCACGACCAGGTCTAAAGCCAGCTTGGTTCTCTCGTGTTTGTAGTTCACGAGTCTTAGTTAGGCGTTTGATAATTATCGAGGCCAGTATTTTAGATACTATGTTTGTTAAACTAATCCCTCTGTGGTTGTCACAGGATGATTTTGACCCTTTCTTATATATTGGGACGATAAGTGATTGCGACCAGTCAGATGGGATAAAGTCTAATTCCCAGATCTTAGCTAAAATATTAGTCAACCTAATCGCTAAAATTGGACCACCATCCTTAAAGACCTCTGGAGCCAATCCATCTGGACCAGCTGCCCTTCCTCGTTTCAGATTAACTATAGCTTTTTGAACTTCAGCAAGAGTTGGGGGACCTACTTCAATGTTCCATTCACATTGTCTGGGAATGGAGGGTAGTTGTAGAGTAGCTGAAGGCCAGCTGAACTGTTCTCTAAAATGTTCCGCCCATCGTTCTAAACGTCTGGACTGGGAGCAGATGAGAGTACTATCTTTTTCCGAAATAATCTCACTTACACTTGACTTATTAATTCCAGTTTCTTTTATTAGTCTGTAAAGCTGTCTTGTGTTCCCTATAGTCGCCGCCTTTTCCATCTCTTTTGCTTTCGTTACCCACCACTGCTCACGGTCGTTCCTTAGACTTTTTCTTAACCTAGATCTGATTTGTTGTCGCTCTTCATCATGTTCGGAACCTGATGGGACGAGTTTGCGAGAATCCATCAGTGTGACAGACCTTGAAGAAATCCACTGGTTCCTTGCAACTCTGTGGTTTAAGTCACTAATAGATGTCACTGCTGTTTCCACAGCTGATTGTATGCCCTTCCAAGCAACATCTGGGTCAGCCTCGTCTTCACAACTACCTAAGTGTGACCTCAGTTGTTCCTGGAACCTACTTTTGGTTTTCTCGTTACTCAACTCAGTTCTAACGGGTCTTTTTAATGTGGCTTTTTTGCGTCCAGTGAGGCGCAAGCAGATGCGTGCCCGTATTAGGGCATGGTCGGAGTCCAAGCAGGTACTCCAGAATGAGCGACAATCTTCTACCGACCCTCTCCAACGATGACTGATGGCAATATGGTCTATTTGAGTCCATCGTTGGTTTGGTGTAGGGGGTCGCCATGTTAGACGATGTCTCTCCTTATGCTTAAAATTATGATCTCAACTATTGAAATTACTACAATCTCCACAAGACCCCTTCTGATATTTAAGTTAAATTAGTGTGACTTAGTGACTAAGTACAGATCTGTACACTCAGCTTAAATTCACTATTAGACATGAGATAAGCTATATTACACAAGCTTGTTCAAAACTGAAACAAGAAAAGCACGTTTTGAACCTGATACGCTACAGTCGAAAGCCAAATATCTCAACTCATAAATCATTTCTCCACTGAAATAAATAATCACAAGATATTTTCATGCTAATATCTTCACCCCCAAGGTTCGACTAACTTTTAAAGGTAGTAGGTAGGACCTATGCGCCAGAGTCTACGAATACATGGCCGCATGAAAGTATTTCAATGAGAGAAGACTCCCCCCATGGCCGTGACAAAGTATTTGGGGCTAGAAGTTTGACCTTGCGGACAATCGTCACCTGGTACATTTTATTCTGATCTTATTTATACTCTCATTCTTTCAGCTTTCTTGGTGGCTTTCTGTTTTCTTATCCTGTATCGTTAAAAGAATTGAGAAGAAAAACCCACTCAATACTGTATCAACTTTTGCGTTCACCACGAATAATCTCTATATATTCAATTTTATTTTGTTTGAGCTATTCATACAATTCAATAGTAATTTTAACTATCGTCACTAGTCCAGTTTTATCAGTTTTTACGTAGATTCAATTGTTATTATTTATAAGATATCTCATGACAAAATTTCAAACATCTGAGCAAATATTGGACAATCAAAGTAGTCAACTTCCTTAGTACAGCACACGTATACTTAATATACCCTACGCTACATAACTTTTTAATTATTTTATGTAAAAACATCTAAAAAATCAACAACATGCTAATTAGGGAGGGGTTTAATGACGTTTTAAAAAATACGAAATATTCTGTCACTTCAGGCAAAATAAGAATGTGTTTATAAAACTTCAGATAAACTAAGAAATTCTGCGGATTATAGAACAATTACACTCCTTAATTAACAGTCAATAATATGATAGGGGGATGATAACTCACCTCATACCAGGCAGGAAGGGGGCTGTCTGCTTTCTTTTACGAGGATTATGATCACTTGCATCGTCTGCGGCAACCTGTGCTTCACCAGCAGGTGGTTGGTCTACACACACGTTGTCTTCCAATACGTCGTTAGAATTTGCAGGTTGTGCGCCAGATAATAATTCTGCTTCCACTCTTGCCAAAGCAGTATCCGGATCATCTCCTTCATCTAGGAAACTACTAAGCATACGTTCCGAGGGCTTTAGTTCATGCTTTGCTTTGTTGCTAGATTTCTTTATTTCAGTCTTATGTTCAATAGGCTGGGTATTTTGGGATCCGTTATGCTTGCAGTAATTCTCGTACCATTCTCGATAGGCGGGAGAATTATAATAAGCTGTCAACGACTCATTAGCAGCTTTCATAAGCTGTTGTACCTCCACAGAATTATCACCTTTGGTCGCTCTAAGTTCGGCTAACTCTGTGTTGAAGCGTGTCCAGTCTACAGTACTGGGCGCAGTATCTGAAGCGACAGAGGACTCATGCTGATTACTCGTAGCAACACCGTAACTCATTTGATAACGAGCAATAAAATCATCATCTATCTGCAAGTTTATGAATGGACAGTCATGGGATAAAATTCCAAGTAACAAATATATATATATATATATATATATGCGAAACAATCACTGAAAGTCGTCATTATTGTAATTCTTTCCGTAGATATATCATGCGAACCCTAGCACTTGTTATCCTGACCAGTTCAACAGGACACATCTTACAGTGTAATTGAGTACTGGCATGACACGTAATGATAATTACACCTGAATTACATCTGTGAGTCGATTCGGCTTGGTATTCGTACTTTACGTGATAGGACTCTACAGCGAACATCAACGAATACATTTGCAGCCCATCTCCATGTAAATTTTAGGGAATTAAATCAGTATGCATCCTGTGACGGGACTATAGTTTATGGACACACCAATCAGATATAAGATAACGGGCCACGAATTTTTGGCACGAAATTCATTCGTACATTTGGTTAAATAGAGTTTTGGCATTATAGCTGATGTCAGTTCGTGATGAAAACCCAAAATCTAATTTTTAACCCTAACCATCAACCGTAAATGAGAATTATAACTGCATTATAATCTTCATCTAGTCCTAATCAGTAGGTTTCCACCCTCAGGGTCACTTCAGCGTCGTTCAAAGGTCGTCCATAAATTATAGTCTCACCGCATCCTGTTTCTTTACAACTGAAACAGTACTTATTCCACTTGTGTTGAGTGACCAGTCAAAACGATGCATTGATTTGGTAGATAGAAGTACATTAATGCTATTTAACAATAACAGTATTCAGTCAATAAACACTGAAATGAGGCCAATAGACGGTGGATGAGCAGTTACAGCAAAATAAGTAATCACATGACACTCGCATATGCCAATTGTAGACAAAAAAACTTGGTAGGAGAGATAAATCATTATTTTGCGATCACACAAATGCAAAAATAGTAGCTTACTTTAGGAAACCACCCTTTGCGTTGTTCATCCCATTCCATAACAGTCCCATCTGGATCGACTCTCGTTTTCACTTCGACATCAACAGTCTGAGAATTTTGAAGTCTAATCTGCTCCTCGAAATCGCGCAAGTCGTCAGACATCTCAGGGCTTTGGCGGGGCAAAGTGACCTTGAGTCACTTCAGAATCTCCAATTCCCAGAAGTCGAAGTCATGGAGCAGAATTTTCAAAAAAAAGGATATTTGAGTCATAATCAAGCAGATTTCCACTATCTACCAATTGAGAAATAATGGTTATGCTATTAAATTTTGTGACTTCTTTTGCATACTCTCCCGGTACATGTTCATAAGCACACAAAGATCAATCCAGTCAACTGCGTTCTTTTTGTACACAAATTCAACAGCCAGTTACATAAAAAGTGGTCGCGAATTCCATTAACGGCGCCGTTCTACCTCACTCTTTAGACAACTAACGTTATATCAAAACAAAGATTTCTCTGTTTGGATCACATTTCAAGCAATCTACCCAACCTACACTTCTGTACATAGCTGATGTAACCTAGATCAACCCTAGAAAACCTGACTTACCCATCCAAGAGAAGTATGTTCAGTCCCTGCGTTTACCATGGTCAACGACTAGATCACCATATGCGCAAACTGGACATTACTTGGTTACATAATTACGCCTGTCAATCCCAATGGAGTATAAATCGCTGACCTACATTCTCCAACCCACTCTGTCCCGCACATTCCTTTCTAGTTCTATCCAATTGTTGTTCATTCATCTCATGTCTGTCTCAATTTCTCGGTGTAATATGTTGTTTGTTCTTCCTCTTTTCCTTTGGCCTTGAGGATTCCATGCGAGGGCTTGCCTCGTGAAGCAGTCGGGTGCTTTACTCAATGTGTGTCCTATTCACTTCCAGAACTTCTTCCTGATTTCTCCCTCCTCTGGAATTCAGTTTGTCCTCTCCCACAGTAGGTTGTTGCTGATAGTGTCTGGTTAACGGATCCGAAGTGTTTAGCGTAGACAGTTGTTAATAAACACTTGTATCTTCTGGATGATGGCTTTTGTAGTTCTCCAGGTTTCCGCCACATACAACCGACCTAGAACAGCCTGGACATAATAAACCCTTTATCATCGAGTCTCCTTTTTTATTTATGTGCTTCTTAACCCATACATTCATTTTTCCCAATCCACATGAATTCCTATCACAATCACGTTGATAGCACCTCCCATATTACACATGCTGTTACTGTTGTTATTATTATTGTTACCTCCATTGAAATAAAATATTTCCATGATGTATTTTATTACCATGATTTATTTTAATAATAGTGACTGATTAGATCTTTTTATGTTACAAAAAATCTGTTTGCCCTATAGTAAATAGCCTCTTTAATTTGTGAATGACACAATCATGAGATATTTATGCCGTAAGGAATGTAAAACTTCATTACTTTTCGCAGCTGACGTTGTTTAATTCACCATCACCCCTTATTTTTTCCTTTGTAAAATAACACAGTAATTATGAACTTCTAACTGTAGAGATTGATAAAAAAAGATACTGAAAACAGTTGTTCACTCGGATGTTTTTTTGTTTTTGAATATTCTGTGAGGTTTCTGAGTAAAATGCTTTCAGGTTTCCATCCAAAAATAATTCAAAGGGTTCTAGGTTTTGGACTTCAGTGAATCTACTATTTATGAACGATGCCAAAGTGACCATTAGAAAATTCACCTAAGGATTAAGGTAGAAAGATAGTTACGAACTAGTGCGAGTATTAAGGTTCGGTTTTTATAGTTAGGGTTTGGGGTTGGAATTAGAATTTTTAACACATGACGATATCGGCTATGTTGCTGAAATGTACGCAAAGTAATGTTCATGTCAAACCGGCCTCATTTTCGTATCTAAAATTGATTGCTAACAATCCGTATTCCAAATTGTTTCGTTGAGCGTGTTTTGACTAGCACGTGTTCGTGGTTTTCTCATGACTAAGTATTCTATTGACGTATGCAAACCTGATAAAGGACGTTAGAAACATCCTAATGTGTGTTTCCTCGTTTTTATTGTCTCCAAACTCAGTAGGCGTTGTGAAAAAAAATCACAAAACTTTCGTATATATATAAACGTCATACTTCCGACCGATTTGAGGACTGCCTTGAAACCGCTTTTGAACAGTAGATACGAGAATATTGTGAACAAATCCTCAACACCTAGGTAAATCAGTTTTCTTATTGATGTACGCGTGAAAGTTGTCTCTTATCGTCGATCAGAATTATTAATAAAACGTATATCAAAACTTGCTTTCAATAAAAATATAAACCTAAGTTTTCCAGTTACCTGTGTTTTATGCACCGGCATGTTTGCAATACGACAATACTGTTACGTTTACCACTCATTTAACAATATCCGATTTTAAGGTAAGGATTCTGTATTTCTTCAGCACATTGTGTTGTGGTGCCTTCAATAGTGAGATTCTGTACAGCTTTTAAAGACACGATTCCGAAAAAGGGCAGTTACCGAATTAATACAGCAATGCCTTCAAACTTTCTGGTATGGTCGGAGCTGGAGATAATCCATTCTACTCAAAATACTTTCATATGACCACGTGTTTATATTGGACCCACATACTGAACTGAGTCAATGTTATTTCAGCCATACTATACTGAATTTGATAATTCAGAAGACGGCAAAAGCAACAAGTTCTTTAAAATGATGCAACAAACGTACAAAATGATCTAGACTATACTCATAAGAGGTACTACAGGAACGAATGTAACTACAATTGAAGATAGTGGTGCAGGTATCTGATCAAACTTGGCTGTCATAATAGGAATATACCACCGTCAGTCAAGAAGTAATATTCTACTCAGAGAAGTGTAGGTCAATTTAATTTACTCAGAATATGAGCGATCATCTAGGAAACAATGTCTATACCAAAAAATATATTTAAGGACCCGTGTATAATCACAAACTTCCACAGGTGAAACAGGAAACGTGTTTAACAGTCGGTCTCACGAGAAAGAAGCTATCGGGTCACCAGGCGTCAACCAAAGTATGTCAATCCACCATGGTGAGTGCCATAAAAACCATTTTAAGTAAAGCAATCACATAATGATTATACAAAGATCCAAGATATCCGGGGAAGAGTTAGGATTCAAAATTTATAGACGATCTAATGAAATAAAAGTAATGACTCTTGAAAATGAAAATCGATCTACAAAATGCAGACAACAACAAATGAGGCAGTATATACTAAAGAAATACAGAGACCCAGTCACGCGAAAGAAAGACATGGAGAAATTTCGCTCGCATTTGCATGTGAGAATACAAAAATGAAGCTTACATATATACCACTGGAAGGAAAGTTTTATCAACTGCCTTCTAGCAGTGTGAGAGCTGTTTACGAAATGTTGAGGACAGTTAAATCAAGTCGGCATGCACCGAGGTTCCTACCCAAATTGTTGGCAAGCCATGACTCGAAACCAATAGTGCAATGGACTCTAGGGTTCTATGGGAACAAAGGCCGTGTAAACTTATTCTTGTTCACTGGCTACCTTGGGACCGCGTCGCCTAATGTTATCCCACCGCCCTGCAACAACACGTCAGAACCAAAGAATCAGGGTATGAATTCTTATGAAAATTAAGTGCTCCTTTCGGGAAACCAGGATAACATCCCAGCCGACAGACGAACTAAATGATGGTTACCACTAAAAAAACTGTTCACTCCTTAGTTCTGATGCTCTCAAACCCTACACAAAACGACTTGTTGAAACGTGAAAATTATATTTGAAATAATCTCAGCGACTGAAATTTAGGTAATTCGAACTTTTTGTTCAACAAAATTGGCTTGACGTTTTCAACAAAATAATCGATTGTTATTGTAATTTTTACCTAGAATGGCTTGTAGCGGTAAATAAATCCCCAAAATAAATAGCCTTGTAAGTTTTCGACATTGGATGCTGACCATATGTTTTAGTGGACTCATCTAGCTGAAGGCGCTCGGTCAGGCATCCGCACCAGATCACGTGTGGTAACGCCGTGCTCAACATCAACCGCAATCGCTAGCCAGATTAGATCAGAGAATTCCGATATATTGGTCATCGCCAAATATACTCTTCCGATCTCCTCGACTCTGTCTTTTGATTTCTCTTGGTGGGAACGAAATATATTAGAAGGTGTTACTGGTAGAAGCGTTGTCAAACACTGAATACCTGTGACATCATCATTGGTGAGACCGTCGTGATCTGGTACACCTTATTGCAACTGTGAGTCTGTTCCTTTTTGGGATTTTTATATATCATTGCCTTATTTTTTATTTTTTTTAAACATTGTGATTTTTTTTCGTGTTTTTCTTGGATATATATATATTTTCCCCTCGTTCATTATCGTACTTCATATTTCATCATGACTGAACAGACACCTAAAGTACTCAAGCTTAAGACCTTGTCCCCACCTTCGTTTCAACTGATGCCTTTCTGGCCCGACAACATCGAAGCCTGGTTTTGCTACGCAGAAGCCGACTTCTCCGAGCACGGCGTGATCGACACACGTGCACAATTCCTCGCAGTAGTCAAGGCACTACCGCGCGAATTCAACAGGTACGTAACACCTAGTATGTTTACTAGTGATGTTTCCGAACCTTACGAAATCTTAAAACGCTCGATTCTTAAACGAGGAGACCTAACCGATCGACAAAGGTTAGATCAACTCTTCAATAACATCGACCTGCAACACGGTTCTGCGACGGACATGTTGCAACGGATGAGAGAGGTTATAGGCCCAAGAACTTTCGACGAAGGTCTATTCAAACAACTCTTCTTGTCAAAACTTCCCCAACAGGTGCAAGCAGTTCTGGTCTCGTTCCAGAACAACGCCTTAGACGAGCTAGCTGCATCTGCCGACCGCATTCTAGAAATTACGAAACCTACTACCGAGGTATTTTCAGTCAAAGAAAAGCCTCAAACGACTCAGAATGATATAACCGACTTATGTCACACACTCACGCGTTATCTTAGTCTTCGTACCGACCGTAAGAGATCGCGCACACCACGTAGAAGCATTTCTCGTAAGCGATCTGTCTCTAGACCACGAGAGACAGATAACCCCGACTGGTGCTGGTATCATAACCAGTATGGAAAGTTT